ACAAATCTCCATCAACTGCAAGATGCTATCCTATCAATATGGGCCAACATTTCTAAAGAATGCTTTCAGCACCTTGTTGAATCAATGCCATGTAGAATTAAGGCAGTTCTGAAGGCAAAAGGGGGTCAAACACCGTATTAGTATGGTGTTCCTAATAATCCTTTAGGTGAGTGTATATACTGAATATTGAAATTGTGCCTTATAATTATGGGGCAAATATGGTCAAACTAGTTTGCTTGGTTTCTGAACTGCAAGATTTTTATTAAAAATCTACATGTAGTATTTTAGATAACACATGAAGAATGTTAGCAGCTTTTCTCAGAAAAAGACAAGCATAAAATTAAGTATCCGTGTAACATATTCAAATCCCTAATTTATGTTTTTGCACCTTGTATTTTATTGTTAGCTCTTTAGCTAGAGAGTTAACTAGAAGATCTGTATCTAAAATGAGGGTAACTTAGAAGAAATGGCTCTGAATGTCCCCATAACTTTGTGGAGCTGAAAAAGCAGGTATCTCCTAGAATACATTGAGTATAATCTGTTGCCAGTTGGCAATTGCCATGGCAACACCTGTGAAGTGCATTTGAAGCCAGCAGCCATGTGTCCAGTTCAGTGTTCCTTTAGTGGAGGCTATTTTTAGACATTCACAAAGGGGCCAGAATGCCCTGTGCTCAGACCACTATGATGACAGTGGGATCATACCACTGCCCATGACATTCAGCATGGAATGAGATGTGCCTAGCATGATACAAGAATTCCATTTATTAGCCTATAAATATTTTTCAACTAATAAGATACCTACAGTTTTTATATGAATACTCTTGTGTCCAAGAAACAAATATCTCTATTCTAGGAGTGGCCTAGTTTTTCTGTGATCATTATTGTTGTTATCTCCAGTATGTTTATATATTAATGACCACAATCATTAGTTTGAAAAAGGACAAAGAAGAAAATGGATACAGAGAATTCAATTTCATTAGCATTATTTAGTGGGCCAAAGTTTATTGATGAGAGCATTAATTCACCTATTACCTATAATAATGAAAAATTGTCCACAACCCCAAAACCACAGTCACACCTTTTTGCCCTTGTCCTAATGTCATCTTTCCCAAAATATAATAATAATAATAATAATAATAATAATAATAATAATAATAATAATAATAATAATAATAATCCTAAGAAAAACAATAATAATAAGACAATCCACTTAAGTCCATCTTACATGCCTTACCAGGGGGGTATTCCATGAAAGTAGCTAAAAAAAAAAAAAGCCAGACTTTCCCGAAAAAGTCATCTCTAAACTTAGCCTCACGTCGTTCCACGAACGCAGTTCAGTTTTAATTAATCAAGGTTCATTCAAGACAGACTTGCATAGTCTCACTTAGTGCGCACACCCGCGATATTTAAGAAGCCCAAATAAATGGATGGAGATCTACCAAACGAGTCGGAAAGCCTGTAAAACGAGAGCGGTGTTTCTTTCCGCCGCAGAATAAACGCTGCTGATGGATCTGTATGAAAAATACAAAGATGTAATCGTTAAAAAAAGGCAATACTGTGACCATAAACACAGCCAGGGAGTTGGCTTGGCAATGAATTGCAGACAGACTAAATGCATGTTACGTAAATGTTACAAGTCCTTATAGTAGTGGCATGGTGGAACGGTACGTGGTTTATGCTGTGGCCTTATAATGCGAAAGTTGCTGGTTCGATCCCCATAGCCAACGGGGAACCTTATGGGTTGATTTCACCTGTCATTATTACTGTATAATATTATTTGATCTCCGTAAAATACTTTAAATCACATCCGTGTGAAATGTTCTGCACAAATAACCGGATATTGTCTTTGCTATTTTAGTAGTAAACTTTTAAAGTAGACAGTAACTAAAAAAAAAAGATATCTTCCTGTTCATATTATTTTAACGTTTTTTCCAATTACAGTCATTGCATTTCATGTTTCTCCTTTGTAATGTGTGTACGCTTTTCTTGTACAGTAAAATACCGTTATAACGGACTTCAAGGGACCTGGAAAAACAGTCCGTTACATCCAGAGTTGTTGTATGCCCAGAACACAACTACAGGACATCATTTACTCATGTCACACCTCAGCAGACACACTTGTGGTATAGATTATTATATTGTACATGTACTAATCCAACTTCACCTGACCAGATGCGTGACTATTAATCCCGACTACATACGTATCTGCGCTGGATATCACCAGCACGCCACACGCCTTGTAGGCGGAACTGCATGTCCGTTAAAGCCGAACAGAACTACAGGTATAAAAGCGGCCCTGGGGACCAAATTGTTTGTCCATTATAAGCGAAATTCCGTTATATGCGAGTCCGCTATATCCGATGCTTTTTCTGCATGTTCGTAAAGGCACACGGGGGGGACCAGCGGACCTCGTCCGTTATAGACGATATTCCGTTATAAGCGAGTCCACTATAACGGGGTTTTACTCTAATTGTTTTAGAATGATAAGACGTGATTTTATAGACTTTATTATATTGATTATGTAGCAATCTCACCTCTGTTCTACATATTATGGAAGTATCACGCAGAGCTTTACTTCAGAAAAGAAAAGGTTTTCATTCTCTGCTTTCTCGTCTTGCTTTTACTCACAGCACTGACTACAGGGTTCCATTTTTATATACGTATATACAAGACTCATTCTCCCGCTAACACAAACAAAATCATGTCATTTTGGTACCCCTTAAAGATTAAAAAAAAAAATTCAATCAGATAATGTAAAATATAATGTCAGATGAGGACATATAATTCAACAGATTACATGACATGAATAGTAAGATCGCGGAATTTCGTCCGACGGAACGATCTTTTGGGAATCTGTTCCCACACGTCGAACGTTCTTTGAGACAACGCTAAACTAATAAATATTTCGATTCCGGACAATTTCCGAGTCTCGAATCGATTCTCTCGAAGCCGGAAGTGGCGACATGCGCACTCCCGTTTCTCGGAGATCCGAGAAATATCTTGTACAACACAGAGGACCCGAGTTCAGAATCCAAGATGGGTGCGCCCTTTATCAACAAAAGGGAAAGTTGTAGTTTTATCCTGTTTAAGCACTACTTCTTAAATGAAATAGGTCGCACACACTACACCGTCCAACTTATCTGTGGACGTGTTGGTACGGAGTTTTATACGTGAAGCACCGCGCGTAATGTTATCAAGTGATATTGCTAACAATGGCTACCAATTAACCGGTCTAGAATTGGATTTCATGATTAGTCGGATTATTTGTCGGATTTAAAAATAAATATTTTCTGTTCTGAGTACCGTTGCTCACATTTCTTTATGATATAAGGCTTCGGTTTAAGGTGACATTTCTTAGCCATGCAGATTATTTGTCCCTCTTTAAAATTGGGACGAGCGTGGAGCGATTTGACTGGAGCGGGAGGAAATTTTAGTAGAGCGAGGAGCGGTGTTGAGCGGAGCGGTTTAGTGCGAATTAGAGCGGAGGAGCGGGCGGAGCCAACAGCCTCGTGAGCGAGGAGCGGAAGTTCTCACCGCTCCACTCCGCTCACATGCTCTGCTACCTACCTAACTAACTAATGATAAAAAGCATCAACAATCAATATAAAACTAGTACACACATGAAAAAGCACACATACAAAAACAATAAACATGAAATGAATGACAATTTACGAGCACTTCGCCTGTATTAAGGTGAGGTGATGGCAAAACAGCAGGGGCAGGTGGAGAGGAGGAGGGATGGAGGGGTTATTCCACACAAGTTTTAGCAGGTCTGATTTGTTTTGTCATTCCGAGTTTTTGGTCAAGTTGTGGCTAGATTTTTCTCGACCGACCTGTTCGAGGTCCACATTGGTAGAATTGAACGTGTTTCGGCCCAGGCAAGTTTCAGCAGGAAGAGTTGAGTTCCAAGATTTCGGTCAAGGTAGGCCTACAAGTCAAAAAAAATAATCAACAGACCCGTTTGACATCTGAGTTGGTCAAGATAAGAGGTGTTCAAGTTCCAAGGGTCTACTGTCAATGCAACTTCATAACATTCATGTATCTCTCTTTCATTGCCTCTGCAGCTACTACTGCTATGACGTATGACTGTGCCATGGCTAGAAGTGCATCAAGAGATACTATTTCTACATTACAGAGATCACTTTTGCAGCTAATGAGGATGAACTGTGCAGAACCAACTTCCTACATCATTGAAGGCCTGAAGAAAACAATCTGTTAATTACATGGTGAGTGAGGCTGTAGCCTACTTTTCCGATGTTATGATACCCAATAACTACATTGGGTAACACAAACTACATAAAGCACACTATGTCTAAATAAAGTAATAATGAAAGATGAGAAATACAGGGAGTGTGGCAAGTAGATTTATAGCACTTTTTTGCACCGTTTTATTTATGTCGCACCACATGACATGGCCACTTGACTTGCACACAGTTGTAAAAGGAAAAACAGCCTGAGTGCTCAACTTATATATTGGATGGCCTTCAGGACAGCTGGAAAAGCATCCCAGGAGGCCACCGCATGGAACTGGTGTGGAGGAGGAAGTAGGGTTAGCCAGTCCCTGGAGCAATTGGGGTTAAGGCCCTTACTCAAGGGCCCAATGGTGGGATCACTCTTCCAACTGAGGAATTTGAATCGGTAACCTTCTGAATCTGAAACCACACAGCTGCTCCCCCCCAGCATGTTTTTTTTGTGTGTAATACGAAGTGTCTTTTTGGTCAGTGCATAATTCCATTTGTCATTTTATTTGTTTTGATGTCTCTATAATTTTCTAAAATGTAGAGAATAGTAAAAAAAATAAAAAAAACTTTTGTTCACAATATTTTTTTCTTTTGTCCAAACTTTTGACCGGTACTCAATATTTTACCTCATCATGGAACCTGCCTGTGGGAATTAGCATTCCGGGAGGAAATACAATAACTAGAATCTATCTATCTAAATTGTTGGTATTGATTGTTTTCTCTGTAATTTACATTCGCTCCCTTTTTTAATTAACTATGCATGGTTTTTCTAATAGTTCCACTTTATCCAAACCAGGGGGGTATTCCATGAAGCAGGCTTAAGGGAAAGTCTGACTTATTTTGACAAGTCAGTCTTACTTAAGTGAGAGTTCCGTTCCATCAACGTGTCTTAAATGAATCCCCGCTGAATTACCATGGTAATTTAGGCCTGCGAACAAGCCTGGTCCGGACTCCCATTTGCATTCCATTTGCCTCGGGATCTGATTTTCGGATTCGATATTACGTCACATCCGCTAAAAACTCGGGAAAACCGAGTAGGATACGTTCCATTTGCCACAGAAGTAGCAATACCATGGACCCATATGAAAAAGCAAGATTTTTTGCTTAGCCGGACAACTTGTCGGATTTAAGGTACCTCAGTTTAAATGGCCTTTATCTTCGTTCACTTACAATTAGCCCGAACTACCTTAAACAGCATATAGGCAACAACGGACAGGTTTGGCAATGGCATTCCACACAAAAATAGGCTTAAAAATAAAGGAGTCAGTGCATGCTTAATAGCATAAAGAATATACAGGCTAAGCATCCACGTTTTAAATTCCTCAATTTTTTTCTGTTGATGCTGCTGCTGCGTCTCTCTATTAAATAAAATTTCACTGACAGCGTTACGTGAATTTTAAAAATCCTATTAGACCTACTTTGAATGACAAACTGATTTATTTGATTACCAAATTACAGGCCTTTATAATTTTATTTACTTTATAGACTTGATATGCTACAAGTTACAACCATATAAAACTTGCACGCGTTTTGCTCTGGCTTCCGCTTGTTCGCGTAGCACACTCATGTTTCTGAGAAAAGTGATTCCAAAGTGAATCTTTACTCACTGAAACAGTTTCACCACATTGTTGTTCTTGCTGTACATTCTTGTCATCTATATGTTTGATAAGAATAGTACACTTGTATGATTTATCAGTTTCCTTTGTGAAATACTTTGCGAATCCCATCGTCAAATTTGTGTAACAGTCTTGATAATTGTACAGATGAATTCTGGGTAGATTTGCGCGCGCCTCAGAGTCGTAGTGTGAGTGGTATCGGAGCGAAATTGGAGCGAGACAGAGCGACCGCTCCAGCCTTAATAAAAAGCCGCTCCGCGCTCTGACCAATTTACTCTCGCTCCGCTTCTCGCTCTCATGCTCTGGTAGGTAGATAGCCTTCTGGAACAAATTAAGTTTGTGCTTCAAGATACCACTGTGTAAAGTTTTATGTAATTCAGTTAGTACTAAGGAGCCCCTTAGGTGTCACGGTAGAAAAAAAATATTATTTCGTTCCCTCGAATTACTAAATCGTACCCTCGAATTAGTAAATCGTACCCTCGAATTACTTAATCGTGCGCTCGATTTAGTAAACCTTACCCTCGAATTACTAAATTGTGCCCGCGCATTACTAAATGGCAAGCCGTTGGGACATTTGCCATTTTGTTTTAAGTTTAGGGACCACCCACGCTTTATTTTCTGTTAATATCCTAAAACCGTGTACTGTTGTCAATATGGCGTTTTATTATAGGAATATGGTCCAAGTGCCATACAAAGTTGGGACCCTTTGACGAATATGCCCTCCGGTTAAGGCGTCTCGATCTCCGCCTCTCTGTCCCTTCTGGGTCCAATGTTAAGAGAATCAGGCCCACATCTTCCTTCTGAGCACGAAGTCCATATTCTTTGCATTTGAACATGAACATGAACTGTATGACATCTGCAGTATCAAAGTTTTTGCGTCTGATCTGTCCGTTTTCCCGTAAAATTCGTTTGAGTGTTGCCAACGACATATCACAATGTTAATTGTGCTTAACAGCCAAAACCCAAAGAATGTCAGTATATTTCAGTCCAGTATCGAAATAAAACTGTATTAAATCGAAACGCTTCATGACCCTGTGTCCATGAATGATCAATGGGTAGCAATACATAATTCGCGGGCACGAATTACTAATTCGAGGGTACGATTTAGTAATTTGAGGGTACGAAATAATATTTTTTTTCTACTGTGACACCTAAAGGGCTCCGTAGTCATTTATATAACTACATAGCTTTTTCTATTATTCTGCACAATAAATAATAGTAATACCCTTCAGCAGGCAGGGAGCTGTCCTGCTTCTAAAAGGCTTACAGAGGGGCTGCTTTACGCCGTTCAATTACCTGGTGCTGTCGAGATACTGTGATTCCAAAATTAGAGAGGGCAGAGCTTTTACTGTGAAAGTAGTGCTTTCATATACCTGATACTGTAAAAGAATACACTGGTAGAACAGCATTATAAAAAAAAATAAAAGTTGAAAGTCTATAATACAAAGCTTTTAGCTTTTAGACTGATAGTTTTGTTGTCTCAAACTAATTAAGCGAAAGTTGTGAGAGTGATATACAATGTTATGGATTTGTCTGCTTTGGTTTCATTATCTTGGATAGAACATTAAAGCTTGACAATATTCATACATTATGTCGGGCTCTGTCAGCGGGAGTTCCATGCTAATAAAGTTTAAGTTAATTTTTTTGAGTTAATATATTTTACATATAGCAAATCTTTCTATCGGAGTATTGTATAGTTGTTGCAGGTGGCTGCAAATTGATTGCTTGCAATTGTGTTAGTGTGTTAGTTCAAATCCTTTCAGGACTTATGTCAAGATGACTTAAAAAGGATTGACTAGATCCAGAACAATTGACATACTCTATCCACAGGGGCCATTGTCAATAGCATAACATTTGCTGGATCGTAGAGGAATCCACTGCAATTAGATGATTCAGTGCTATTCCTTCTGTTTATTGTGGTAATAAGATCACCAATTAGTCATTACATTATGTTGATATATATTTTTTCCCCAAGGTTTGAGAAGAAGTCTCTTCATCCTAAAGTTTGAAAAGAGTTTCATTTTTCGAATAATGTGTCAAATACACCACTAGAGGGAGAACTACGACTATAAATAAAAAAACTGAAACGTTTCACCCGCACAATCGATATAGAAACATAACAAGATCCTATGGTATTATTTCTAACGTGTTCTGTCACCTGAGATTTTTTGAAAACTGTCAAATATTTATAGTCATATTTTTATATCAACATATCTAAAGATAGGACTGTGCAAAAATCTTAGGTGGTCAAGGGAAATGTTTGAAGTTATTTATAATAAATGTATATTTGCTCAGAAAAAAAACAAACAGAATTTAGCATTGTAATATATGCAAATTATGGAGTGGCACAACAAAAACTAAAAGGAATTTCATCTGTCCCCCAAAAAGTTCTGTGGGAGTGCTGGAAGAACACCACTTTGGTTACAAACCACACCTCAGGAGCAACCCAGCCACTCCATGCATTAAATTTCACTACTAGCTCACTCAAGTCATCAATTACATTAGTTTAAAGAAAAAAGTTAATACGGTATTGTTTAGTCATACAAGCTTTGCTATTGGTCAAGTCAAAAAATGCACAATTGTACTGGAGATGTACTGCAAATACGGGGGTGACTTTAGGAGAGGTTTTCAAATCCCTAAGCTTGCACACTTTGACAAATCTAATACCATAGTTTTACACCAACATGACCATTGATCATTTAAACATAATTTTTGACTTCAAGACTTTTGCAGTGCTGTATGATTATGTTACTAATTGGGGAAAATCTGTCTTTATTGAAAATTACGCTGTATATAGAAGGAATGTAGAATGAGAGTGAGATGTAACTATACAGATAAAGATATCTGTATAGTTTTTTGGGTATTTTTGGGAAAGGTTTTGGGCACGTTTTGGGGTACTCAAATAAATGCATTATTTGTTTTATAAAAACTATGCTAAGTTACATGAATGAAAGAATCATAAAGGAGTTATTTTTATTGAATCTTCAGTACAGCCCATTACTTAGGTCTTAGCTTACTAGTTAGCCAGTCACCAACTTATTTTGAATTATTACATCAGCAGAGAATAGGACACATGTTGAGTCTGAAAGAAACAGTGACATCACCCAAAGAGTATTCACTGAATGAAAGTGTGTAGATGGTAGTTAATTCGGTAGAAATTATGCACTTGTGTCATGCATGTTTCTTTGCCATGGGTTTATACTCAGTGTACGTTCATTGTGACTTGTGTGGTAACCTGTGAGTATTCCCAGCCAAAGTATATGGTACAGTGTTAAAGCGAAAGAGGAATGCTATTCACAGGAACAAGCGAGCACTGCATGAAGATTCTGACCGGCCTCACAGGTTAACTCTGACCCACATGTGGCTGCTTATGCAAGACTTATTCTTGCTAGGCTGAGCACAATATTGCACTGGCATGTAGTGCTACTATACCCATCCAGGAGTCCTTTACAGAGTGAGCAAGCATCAGCTGTGATAAAAGGGATCATGTTTTAATTCCCGTGTCCCAATGCACAAAGCCTTTTACCTACATGCATACACTGGGAAACATAACCCCATCATTAAGCATAGGACCCTAATTGCATTACTAGATGCACGTCATTAATCTACTTTCAGAAGAGAAATTAGGACCCTCTTAGCTATTTAATGACTGGGCATATCTTTGCAGGTCTAGCTGCAGTGAGACAAAGAATAGTCAGCGATGAATTAGTCGTCCACATAGAGAACAATACAAGGAAAATGTAATACATTCCAGTAGTATTTGGATCAGGTTCACATGATCATCCAAATATTCAACAGATGTATTATAAGAGGATTGGAGGAAGGGTCACACTGAAACAAGGATAGCAGTGTGTGGCTCAGCCGGTCAGCCCACTTTGCCTGTGATTGGAAGGTCAACCAGTTCCGTGGTCGGCAGAGCATTTTGCCATTGAGCCCTTGAGCAAGGCCCTTAACCCCATTTGCTCCAGGGACTGGCTGACCCTGCTTCCTTTGTCACTTTATAATAATAATAATAATAATGACAATGACAATCCACTGAAGTCCATCTTACATGCTTTACCAGGTTTGGATAAAGTGGAACTATTAGAAAAACTATGCATAGTTAATTAACGAAAAAGGGAGCGAATGTAAATTACAGAGAAAACAATCAATACCAACAATATAGATAGATAGCTACATAGATAGTGTAAATGAAAATACTTTTCAGCCCACAACTCCAGAAATATCAGAGCCAGACACTTGCCACCCCCATTATGCTGACCAGGGTCTCCTCAGCAGATTTTGCTGACTGATTTTTAACTGGTTGCGGTTTTACAAATGCTACAAATATATTGTAGCACCAGGCGGACTGAGGTATTACAGGAGCAGAGAAGGACAAAGAGACTTGCTTGCTGGGGAAAACACGCTCTTTAATAGCAGTCCTTAAGAGGACTATAACAGGCACCCAACGAGCCCCGAACCAAATACACAGAGCGGAAACACAAGGTTGTCAGACGCCAAACTGTAAGGTGCACACACGGTGGGAGATTTACACAAGCTAAATACACATGAGGATCAGACAGGGTACACACAAGACACGGGCAAAGACATTCGCAACTATAAGGAAATGCAGGGTGAATTTACAATTACAGACAGGGGTTATTTACAATTGCATGCTGGGACATTCACCCTGCCGGCGCTACAGTATTCTTGGAATCATCTTGTGACTCTTCCAGTGTCTTCAGTGGGTAGCACTGTAGAATTACACTCAAGCTTGTACTTTTCATTCCCACAACCAGTTCAGTTTCTTTCCTGTGTTTAAGCAGGTTTATTTTTGGGTACTCCAGTTTCCTCCCACAAGCCCAAAAAGATTAATCTGGTGTCCCTGTATTGCCCATAGTGTGTGGCCCTGTAACAGACTGGCAGGCCTTGCCGGGTGTCACCTGCTACGTGCAGCTTCATGGGGTCGCCCTCCCATGCACTCCACCCTTATACTAAATAAGCTCTTTAGATGGATGGAATGCTTTTTGCTGTTTTATTAGCTCCTCCCCTTATTTAATTGATTACATGTGTATTGCAGATTGCTTCTTTACTTAAAATAGGTAAAATTGCTCCAACTTATTCTTCACTGCACTGTACTGCACTGTACTGCACTGCACAGCATAGCCCAGACCAGCACAGCCCCAGGCTTCAAACAACTAACAGCTCTCTACTGAAATCTCACTCTCCCCAGAGCCCTACCTGTTTTACCTCATTCCCATTCAGTCGTTTTACTGCCTTTTCACACTTAATCAAAATGGTAGTGGCCTATTTCCTACCAAACAGAGTAGCCATCCTGGCCTCCTGCTTTGCGGGGAAACCATAGAACAAGGTATGGAACTTACATTTAATAAAGCGTACAACCTTAGAATATTCACCACAGCTTAACCTGGGACAAGTTAATTAAGATGGCTGGTGGTGAAATTTAATGAAGACATGGAATGACAATGACAATATCCCTGAGCATATGTTTGGGAGCCGAAGCAGTGATTTTCTAGTCATCCAACAAGATTTCATGTTTTTGGAGAACAGAAGAAATTCTTGTTAGTTTTTATTATTGTTCTAAATTTACATACATTCTTAATATTTGCCAAGCAAATACAGTCATGGCCAGAAATGTCAGAAAATGCACCCCCTTTGCTTTTTCCTTTGCTTTTTTGTGTTCTTCCAGTACCAACAAGAGAAATAAATATGACAATACCATTGCATTTGTAATTGCAACAATTTTCTGGGAGACGTGGTACATTTTCTGACAAATGCAGCGGTGCCAATTTTTTTGGCCATGACTGTATGCATTTTTTGCCAAGATGAATAGCTTTACTGTACAGAGGTATATGTTCAACATCTAATAGTTGTACTGTTCTAATTGTAAATCCATACATATAATCAAACTTAGAATAATCATATTTAGGTTTTTATTGTTTTGTCCTTTGAGGTATAAATATTCATTATTATACTAGAGGATGAGGAATGAGCTTTGGCTCTCGTTCACATGCACTAAGGAGCTTGACCTAGTGTTGTGGAATTAAATCCTTTACAGAATGTTACAGAAATCCAGCAGGGTGTTTGGGTGAATTGGCGACCAGCTGGTTCTGGATGTGAAGGCAGGGGATCAGAGTACGGAGAAAAAAAATCTAGTCTATGGTGAGGATTGAACCGTTAACTGTGATTATGCCCTAGTTGAGTTTTTCATTTTCATTCAACCTTCCCTAGGGTGTGTCATTGATTTTGTGATGCCGTGTTCTTAGGTATACATCATACAAACAGCCCAGACATCGACCAGTTCATGAGAATGATTTATTTCATATCTGTGTAAGATGTTGGATTTTTTTAAAAGCACCAGCAGCATTCTTGTTTGCTGTGGTCAGGCTGTTCAATTTTTAAACAGGGTGATGGGAGTGGGGATCTTGATGTCGTGCCCATCCTCTAGTTTTTTCTCACAGTCTATTAGGTAGTTCACGCCGTCAATCAGCAGCTGAACAAGCTCCACCTGGAGAACAAAAAAAAAAAAACTTCACCCATCCATCCATCCATCCATCCACACCACTTCCCCACTACAGAGGGTAGTAGTGTGTAACTAGAGATATTATATGCACGTATGTACATATAATACATTTTAATGTCAGGGTCTTACTGGATATTCATCATGGTTACCTCAGATTTGCCTAAGCGGTCATTGTTTGAGATGTCAAAGACATCGCCCACTGCAGCAGTGTCCACTCCCCCAGTGCCTCGTTTCTGCAGCCTCAGGCTTTCCAGGATCTTCCTGAAACGAGGGTCCTGTGGAGAGAGCAGAGTCCCATTTATCACTGCCACTGTTCATCCATTCTATGAATATGTGAACATCCAGTGTCTCTGGGACACTGCTGTTACCTTGCTGAGGAGAGGCAGACGGACGTGCACCCCTGCCCTAAGTCCAGTGCCCAGATTGGAGGGGCAAGTCAGGATGTAGCCAAGATGTTCATTCCACATAAACTCCCAGCCACGCTCCATAATCAGCCTCTCTACCTGAAATTTGCAGGATAATGGTAGCAAGGGAAGACATATCATCTTTAGTTCTGCTGAGTGGTTCATAATTCATGTGTACTCTAGGGTCCGTACATGCACCATAAACCCGTCATATTGATTAATAACATGGAAGAGGAATGAATTACACAGATGAATGCTTTTCTGTGCCATATGATGCTCATAATTATTGATCTCAATATTTCCTGTAGACTATTTTGCCTTCAGTCATATGGTAGATGGCCAAAACAGATAATAGGTATATTAACCGATAAGAAAATCATTTAGCAATTGCAACAGTATTGATCACTTCATTCAGTATATTAACACTCTAAACATATTGAGTTGTTTTGTTGATAACATCTCAGCTATAATTGGTTCACCGTATGTTATTATACATTACTAAGCAGCATGCATATATTTCTGCAAGGTTTACGTACCTCTTTGAGTCCGCAGCAAAATCTTTCAAACACTCTCTTCATGTTACCACCCTTTTCCATTGATATGATGCGGGTGTGGTCTTCTTCATTGATCCATATCAGGAAGGTCTTCTCATTATTGTGCCTGAGAAATAAAATTTCAACTTAAACTCCAAAATGCAAATTATAATCTTTTATGTCATCTCCCCTAAAAAAAACAAGTAAACTGTACAAATTATTGTCAACACCACCCATCCCCTGTGTCATCTGATGAAGTTGTGACATATAGTTAGTGTAACTCAAGAAATACAAATTTATATAAAAATATATAACTATACCTACACAATGAACACACCCAAACTGCAAATCATAAGTATAGGATGCATATTACAAAGAGTACATGCAGACTCCTAAGTACGTGTTTCCATTAAGGCTAACATGCCGAACTTGACTGCTGGTGATGCAAGCCTCATGCACCATACCAGATTCCCCTAGCATCTGGCCAATCACGGGCCATCCCTGCACATGTCAACAATGGGGAGACGGGCTTGTCAAACAAGAAGTGGTCCTGCATTTGATCAACGGGAGACGAAACAACGGGATCAGAAAAGGCGGGGGGGAAAAAGGATGGTTCAGTAAGTCTGCATAGTAATCCAGGCTTTAAATGACTACTGAACACTGAGTTTTTCCCAAGACACATACATGCACTTCAAATGTCCTCCTTTATGGAAGTCATATTTTTATGTAACCACGAAGTGAGCAGGAAGTCTAATGAATTTTAGGTTGGACATTTCTGTAAGTTCTGGGAAAGCTAAGAAAGAAAACTTCAGTAGCAAACAATCCAATTAGTTTCTTTGTCACAATGCACAGCAATATTTGCCAAACAGAAGGACCACACTATAATATGTTGAGTAGCGATATCAAAAAATAGCTTCCGTAACCACAAAAGTGGGAGGAAAAAAGTAGATAACTACTATTGCCCAGAGTAGGGTGAGAGTCCACTGATTCTGGAGCCTTACCAAATTCCTCGTGCATCGGGCCAGTCTCTGGCCATCCCAGCTGCAGTTAGCAGAGGAGACACTGGCTTATCGAAGAGGAAATGCTCCTGAATAATGCCAGCATGGGAGGGACAGATGTGGCACATGAGGCAGAGGTCATGCAGAATGACAGTGCTCTAGAAGTAGACAACCTGTGGAATTCTATCCATGACATTGTAAAAGTAGATGCTGATGTCGTATTACGATATGCATGGCAATCTGTAATTCATTGAGTTGGAATCTCCAGTTACACAGTTTGCAGTATGAAGTTGCACTCAGTTTTGCAAATGTATATATATTTGCTGGTACTTTTTCTAGTGTGAGCAGGGATTCGATTGTGACTCTCAATAGCTCCTCACTTACATCTATGAGTCTCTGCTGCTCTTCCTCTGTCATTTCTCCCAAGCTGTAATAGTGGCCGGTCAGATCACCTTTCAGGTTAGACAGGGCCTGTATGACAACACGCTCTACCTCACGCCGTTCTGAGCGGCTGCAGGCTGGCGGTAGGCTAAGGCCTCGGATGCTCCGGCCTGTACGGACACGGGAGGACAAGACGTAGTTCTCATCGAACATCCCTGAGGTGATCTGTGGACAGAGGAAGGGCCAGCAACCATCCTGGTGTACTTGATGAAGAGTAGCATCTTTCATTCTATTTACAGTTGCACTTATATAAACCGTGAAGTGAGAAGGAGGGTGTATTGTACCTTTGAAGCATCCAAATCTGTAGGGTGCGTCATAGTTCTTGGATCATAGCCATTGTGTCTCTCCTTAATGACTGGATAAAAGAGCTCAGAAAATACCTGGAGATGGAATTGCAGCAAGATCAGTGTGATTGTGTGCAAATACATAGTACTACCCAACCTACAGATGAGATTCTGAGAGCATAACTAAAACTTCTTTGCTCTCCTGTGATTCACTTTGGATATGACTTTTTGTCCAGCTCTCCAGTGTATACCTCATAGCTCTCTTCATCTCCAGCCACCATGCCAACAGTCTTGATGAAAGGGTGCCCAGGGTTGTCCACCCCTGTCTGGATGCACTGGTCTAAGGTCCAGTTGTTAGGGGTGACCTTGTCTCTTAGGCGTGCATAGATAGCTGGAGTCAGGGCACTTGCCATGCAATTATTGTGCTTGCAAAGATCCGGAAAGTCGGCACTGCAGAGTCAAAGAGTAAGAATAAACATACCATTCTTCCCGGCCTTATTTTGCACTCAGTGAACTTTTCCTGCTTCATGGCCTGATACCCATTTGGTAAGCTACATACTAATCTATGTCAAATCAACTGATACCTGTCTATACATTTTATCCATTACATAGTCATAGATTGGGTATTTCAAGGATGAGTAACACGTGAGCAATGTGTTCTTATGCAACGTTATGCCGGTATGATGATAACAACGCTATGACGTCACTAGGCAATAGGAATTTTTCTGTTATGTTATAATTTTAGGTGACCGAAATATATGTCGTTGACCGAAATGTTGTTATGTGGCACGTGACTCTGTGGGTAGGGGTTAAGGTTATCATAGTGGAGATAAGAGTTTTACCCATGCAAATGAATGGACAATGGACTAAGATATAAATATCTCAGCTGTGTGTGTGTGGGTGAGTGACAGAGAGAGATAAATAGAGACACAGTTAAGAGACAAGTAGAAGCTGATGTTTACTTTATTTTTTATTTGTTGATACTGTAAGTGTAGGTGTTTTGGGCTGTAAATATTCTTTTACAAGTTCTTGGATATGGAGATTCCCTCTACTGTAAGTAGATATGCACTTAACTGTATTTAAATATATTTAATATGTTTCAAATGTAAATATTTAAACATCCATTCATCCATCCATTTTCTGAAACTGCTTAATCCCAACTGGGGTCGCGGGGGGGGGGGGGACGGAGCCTGGGAACAATGGGCGCAGGCGGGAACCAACCCTGGGCAGGTGCCAACACACCACAGGATGCACACTGACACGCACACTCACACAACTACAGGGCCAGTTCAGACTCACCAATCAACCTATATTTAAACATATAAAATATAAATAATATGCAGGTACATGACAATTTCAAACAAGGACATCAAAACATATACAAAAAAACACAAGTGATAACGTAAGTGGTGGGGAAAGATTCTGCAAATTGTCATATAATTGGATTTTGCAATAAGTGAATAGTTTCAGACCTAAATATCATAAGAAGGAGTTCAGGTAAGAACACAGTTATTAACACTAGACACTGCACTCTTGAGCTGAATCATTTGTGGTGGAACAGGGAAAGAACTAAGCTACACAGGGCTCCGCCCCCCAGGACTGGAGTTTGACACCCCTGCTGTAGTGTATGAAGATCTCAGAGGCTGTTTCTAAGATGCTGCATTCACCACATTTGGGACTAAATCACACCACATTCAAAATCACTTACATGACACATCTTAGTCATTCAGTAAATGAACCTCTTGACCCTGTCTGAGTGCTATACACCAATCAGGCATAACGTTAAAACCCCATGCCTACTATTGTGTAGATTTCTCATGCTGCCAAAATAGCTCCGACCTGTTGAGGAATGGACTCCGTAGGACCTTTGAAGGTCTCCTGGCACCAAGACATTAGCAGCAGATCCTTTAAATCCTGTAATTTGCAAAGTAGGGCCTCCATGGATCAGACTTGTTTGACCAGCACATCCCAAAGATACAAGATTGGATTTAGATCTGGGGAACTTGGAGGCGGACTCTTTTTCATGTTCCTCAAACCATTCCTGAACAATTTTTGCAGTGTGGTCTGGTGCATTGTCTTGCTGAAAGAGGCCACTGCCATCGGGGAATACTGTTGCCATAAAGGGGTGTACGTGGTCTATAGTTATGCTTAGGTAGGTGGTGGTATGTCTCAAAGCAACATCCACATGAATGCCAGGTCCCAAGGTTTCCTAGCAGAACATTGCCCAGAGCATCATGCTACCACCACTGGCTGCCTCCACTGGCTGCCTCCACTGGCTGCCTCCACTGGCTGCCTCCACTGGCTGCCTCCACTGGCAGCCTCCACTGGCAGCCTCCATTGACTTGCCCATAGTGCATCCTGTTGCCATTCCTTTCCTAGGTAAATGCACACACACCTGCAGTGTTGTGTAAGTTCACACTTTACAACAACTAGCTCAAAAAAATACATTTTTTTGGGACTTCAACGGCTCCGGTATAACATAAATTTGGAGGTAGGCATAATTTCAGATCCACAAACAAGACAAAAAAATAAACATATGCAGATATTAATGTTCTTGAAGCTTCATGTAACTGTTATAGATTAAAACATGTCCAGCTGACCTTGTTTACTGTTGCTGAGATGTGAGTCGTGAATGTCATGATGTGACAATTTGTATATGATGTGTAGACTTACTGGTAGTAGACAGGAATGATGGGGGGAGGGGGGAGGGGATTAAGAGATGTGATCTGATGGAGGACATTCGCTCATTGGTCTGACTACTCTGCAATTTTACTGCAAGTTTTATACACATATCTACATTGACTGTTATACACAGTCAATGTAGGTATGTTATTTGGTGACTAATTTATATGTTACATTTTTACAAAATATTGGGCACACATGTGCCTACCTAAATTGATTGGCACAACACCACTGATCAAGATCATCATGTAATAATTTTCCAAGATGCGATTCTAAGATATAATAATACATCAAATTTCATATTGCAATATCAAAGTTAATTTTTTGCCTATTAACGCTACTTCACTTTCACATTCATTAGTAGTCAACTGATTTGCGTAGTTCACTGTTCATTAAAAAAAGATTGCATTCAATAAATGGTGCTCAATTAGTGCGTTCAAGCACAACATTACAATTCCCCATCCACATGATGTCATAGAAAGGGTGTCTCAGCAGGCCAGACCACCTTATTCCATTGCTCCATGGTCCAGTTCTGATGCTCATGTAGGTGCTTTCGGCAGTGGTCGGGGGTCTGCATGGGCACCCTGACCAGTTTGTGGCTACACTGCCTCATACGCAGCAGGCTGAGATGCACCAAGCATAATATTACAATATGTTTATTTTGCAATTCAAATTGTACTTTCTGCTACTAATATTAACATGAGCACTTTTACATTAAATGTTTTATCGTTAAGTACAAATGTGTCACTATTAAGCAAGCTTTTTTGAAAACACTGCAGTCTGAAGATCTGAAGCTGAAGGCGCCCCAGTAAGCTGTCACCTACCTTGGTGGAAACATCTTCCTCCTTTCTGGAAACACTGCCCTGCCAGTGTCGCTCATCAGGTAACCTGTCACTAAGGTCCCAGCACCAAGGCTAGCCATCACCGCCACCGTGCTGCGGCTGGATAGCATTCGAGTGAAGGAGCTTGTCATGTTTGTCTTCCCTGAATCCAATCAACTGGGAGGGGATAGAGCAAAGGTGGTGGGAGAGGAGATCAAATAAATTATTTTGGCATACTTTAAAATGATATTTGTGTTAAATTAGAAAGTTTGTCATGCAAATTATTACCCATCAATTTGGCAGACTGAAGATTTATTTGGATTCAGATGGAAGACCTTTGAGGAAATTATTACAAAATATTTTCATGAATTACATTATATTTAACTGTCACTTCTGAAGCCTATACAAATCTGTTTTTGCTCTCTAACTCTGACAGGAAAACAATGCATAACATTCACCCATGTCTCTTTCCAATCAGTGGTGGAAACTTGTTTGTTTTTCTTTAGCTAGAAGATCTTTTTTCTCACTGCCAATTAATGCAAGTGGGATTAATTAATATGCTTGTTATAGAATGTCATGCCCAAGTAAAGTGAGTAACAGCATTTGGCTTAGAATAAACCTTAATATAGATGTCTGAATAAAAGAAACACTTTTATGCCCAAACCGTACAAAACTAAAAGAATGAAAGATATTTCGCTTTATTTTACCATCCAACATAAAAAAATAATTAAACGTATTTCTCTTCTCCATGTATTTTTAATCCTTACCAATAAAGGAAGATATTTCTTGGCAATCATAACAATAAACTGTATCCAAACATATGTATTAGTGTGTTCTGCATGAAAATGAAATGGCTTATGTAATACGCACCATTTCTGATTTAACTGCAGTTACAGCAGCCTCCGACAATAACAGGCAATGGTTGATAAATGCATTTCATGTGATTCATTTTTGGAGTCATTACTAACACTGAATTTTCCAGAATTTTTAATCATCGGGAACATTTATCAGCTACCACTTGTCACGTGCCCTTCATTCTAAGGAATTATCAGCTGTGACTTAACATATGCATGCACGCATGCGTCCATCCATTTTCTACACCATTTATCTAATGTAGGGTCACAGTGTACGTCTGTGGTGATAGCGCGCATGTATATTTAGTATGCAGTGCGCACTCCCTTTCCAGTCCTGGTAAAATGAACAGTAATGAATATCTTAACCTTCGAACCAAGTGAGCTATGCTGCCATTGTTCAGGAATTATTATCAAATACTGTTGGCAGGAGCTGCAGTATAAATAGTAGCTGGTCTAGATTAATGGCAAGACTTATCTGGCACCAGACATTTTGTTCAGGTCAGAGAGGCTTTATAAGGACTACAAAGAACACAGAGCGAGCACCATGATGCCTTCCACAGTGTGCAATACATTGTTTAATTAATTGAATTGTCCTGGCAACCGTGAACAAGTGATTCATTGATCTGTCCCAAAATAATTTGTGTTAAAATGGACGAGAGAGGGATATAGGGCTCTCGAAGGAACAAACAGGCACGCTTAGGTTCACTCAAATACACTTTAATAAGTAATACAAAATGATCTCGCATTAACACCAATACTAAGCTATCATATTGAAGGCAATGCAAAATAACTCGTACTACAACGGGTATCAAATAATATATATCTTATAGCTAATAGTATTAGGTGCAAAGGTACGAATATATATATAGAAAAGAAGCAATAATACATAAAAGAAGCAAGGAAACATAAAAAGTTACGAAATATTATCACAAGCGGCGATAATTTACTCGCAACAATCAATGGAAAGCATAAGCAGTTGCAAAGCTATTTACACTCGGCAGGGGCGTTGCTAGAGATTTTGGGCCCCATGAAAGCATATCATATTAGGCCCCCCAGTCCAAACCAATCCAGTTATTTTACTAATTTTTTAGGGCCCCTGTCACTCAGGAATCGTCCTAGCTTTCCTCCCCCTTACGGCGCCCCTGACACTCGGACGTGCTATCATCACCCACCTTCACACATGGACTGGGGAGCCCTTTCAGTCCTGGCAGGAGACCAACACGTGAGTTCCGAGAAAGTGCCGGGTGATGCGCGCTCTATCCCACGGCTGAACTCCGGTCAGTACTGGAATCTCCCCCTTCCTTTATACTAAATTTAAAGTTGCGTGTGGGCAGGGGGTAAGCTGGCCAGGCTCACCCCTTCCCCCCAGGCAATATATGGTGCTCCAATTCCCCCTTTTGTCCGAGTGATGCTGCTTGCGATAACATACTACAATAGGCGTCCTTGCGCAATGCCTCCCTGTTCCCCCCTAAAGGCAATATAGGGTGCTGTATACCGACCCCCCACCCTACAGTATCTCCCGAAACCAAGATAAGCATCCTGCATGCCGATCTAATGGCCCAGATGAGCATCCTGGCTTCTCTTTATGAGCTCAAGTTATTTCTGGCAAAATTAGGTTTTACAGGGGATCGGTAAATAACATGTTCGTGCAGTTTAATAACATTCGGGGTGAATTGACCTGAACGGACGATTGACCTGAATTTCAGGACGATCAGTCCACACGCGATCGGAATTAATCCACAATTACAACTTCCCAGAATATTATAGTAAAGGATTAATTCCATGTCATGTGGGTGACGTAATCATCCGCGAATTCATCCTAATACATAATTTATTTCATTATTGTAGATTAATGCCACATCTGATAGCTAATAATAGAAGATTCTGATACTGAAAGTGATCAGTGTTAAAGATTGTATTCTTTCATGAGATAAATTTAAATGTACACCATGCACATTTTGATTCATTAAATATTTGGAGAAAGTTTACTTGGAAAAATGTGATCATTTTTTTGATATTGCATCAGGTATTAAATGTAACTCAGCATAAGCTTTACTTGCAGTTCTTTTGTACATGTCTAAAACCAATTACTTGACCTACCAAAAGTTAAAAATGATAAAAGTCTCTTGAAATTTATTTATTAATTTTTTAAAATTAATTAGAATAGGTGCTTGTATAATACAATTTATCCAATATAGGCCAATTTTGTTTTGATAAAGGAGCATTATTAGCATATAGTAATGACAAAACTAGGTTTTAACAACGAATAGAAATACACACGGTGCCTGCAAAAAAGCATAAATAGTGTATCATTTTTACATTGATGGTGCTGGTATGGGCTACTGAGAGGAGAGGTAACTGTACAATACCTATATGGAAGGTGGAGAGTGTCCCTGAAGTTCACTCCGGTCGGAATACCGTGCAAAATGCGCGTCTGCTTTGTTGCAGGATTAAAGCTGGTCATGTTGGCCAATCCTATTTCTACCGTCAGCATGTCACAGCCTAAATCTGCAATATGGTCTTTGTCCTTGAGCTCTCCCACAGTAGACATTTCCTCGATCTCTCCATATGTTACTGATACCTGCAGACGGTTACTGACCGTACTTCTCTCCATATGTTACTGATGCTTTGGTTCTGTGTGTCCAGTCCCATCCGGACAGATGCCTCACACATTTGTGACATTCACAGGGTCGCCTGATGTACCCGAGCTACAGATTCTTTTCTCAGGAACCAGACATTTTAAGCATTTATAATTTGAATGGATTTATGTTTCTTAATTATATATTCTGTTCAGTGAATATACATTCTTTCTATATACTGTATTTACAGATGTCAGAAGTTACTTCGCAATAAGGAATTGCTATTTTTGGGTTTTCAAAGCTTGAAATAATTCCCGGAGGATTTTTCAAGTGGAATACTGTATGGAAAATTACCTCAAACCCAGAATTAGTCACCATCATATAAATCAAGTAAATATGATTTCTTGTTTAATAGATACTGGACATTTCTGATCTAATTAATACCCTCTAAATTTCTCTGAGAGACTTGGAGCTGTGCATATGTTTAAAACTGCTGTAACAGATAAATAGAGTCTAACTGGACCACAAGCCAGGCAATACTAAGAACATTAGTCATATTTAGCAAGACTGTGATACATTTGCAGTGATCTTTTTAAGGTGCATTGCTGATCTTGGATATATATCCAAATAGCAAAGCATCTATTATGCTTTGGGGTTGTGTGGCATCCAGTGGCACAGGAAACATTCTGAATGGCGATGATAAACAGTCAGACAAAAAGCTGGAACTGAAAAGGGGATCGCTTCTAGGAGAAGACAATGATCCATGAGCTACTTGAAGGGAAAGCAAGTTGAAGGTTTTGAAATGGCTGTCAAAGTGAAATTCCATGGGTAGATTCACACACGCTATGCATGAAAGACATCTCAGAATTAGAAGTGATCTCCAAGGAATAGTGGGCAAAAATCCCTACACAGAGAACTGAAATACTGTTAGCTGAACACAAAAGGTGTTTGCAAGCTGTGCTATCTGCCAAAGAGGGTATCATTAAATACTGACTTACTGAGATCTCTAAACTTTTGGACATGCCAAAATTGCAATTTTTTTGTTCCTGTGTTTTGGGGTTCATGGCATTCAGGCTGCTTGATGCTCACATAAGAAGTATCACTAGAACTACATTCCACCATCTATGGAACATAGCCAAGTTTCAGAAGATGCTCTCCTTCCATGATGTAGAAAAACTAATACATGCCTTTCAGGGCTGTAACCAGGATTTTTTAAAATACTGAGCAAAATTGTTAGCCCTTCGTAGTTGTGCCCCATAATGGATTGTAGTTATTGGAGTTGCAGAATAAATACTGAGGATTTGACCTCGGTGTCCTCAATTGTAGATACGGGAATGATGCCTTCATTACTTCCAGGCTGGACTACTGTAATGCCCTCCTTTCTGGTTATCCATCCAGTTCCTTACATCGACTTCAGCTGGTACAAAAATGCAACAGCCAGAGTACTTACGAAAACCAGAAGATATGATCATATTAGCCTTTTTCTATGATTCCTTCACTGGCTTGCAGTTAAAGCTCAGATTGAATACAATTCTCCTACAGAGCTCCTCAGCTGTGGAACAGTCTTCCAGCAGATGTGTGTGATTCAGGGTCACTCTCAGTATTCAAGTATAGAATAAAAACACACTTGTTTAGTTTAGCTTATAGGGAATCTAGTTCTAGCGCTAACTAGCTACTCAGCCCCAGCTAGGTCTGAGGTGCAGAATTGAGTGAGTATTGGTGCCATTGATTTTGGATGAACTGTACTGTCAGTGCTTCAGACCCCCTCCTCGTGGAGTTGGAGGGGCTGACGTTCAGGGACTCCCCATGCCTGCGTTCCCACTTCTCTCCCTCCTACTTATGCTGCCACAGCCATATCTGCCAGAGCTTACGTATTGCACTCACCTAACTGTTGCACTGCCTGTAGTCTCCCTCGCATCCTCACTGGCGGCATTGGGCAGGAGATAATGTAAAGTTCTTTGAGAATATGTAATGTTGTGCGCTATACAAATGAAAGTGAATTTATTATTTTTTTTAATTACAAATATGTTGTTTTTTAACACAGTTTCTTACTTTTCACTTAGGCCTACATAATTAACTATACTGCATATTTTAGTTGGTGCCCTAACTGTTGCATACAACTCTTTGCTGGTTCTTATCCTTCATCCTCCTCATAGAAACAGTGCTTCATTTCCTCTTCATAGAAACAGTGCTTCATTTCCTCCTCATAGAAACAGTGCTTCATTTCCTCCTCATAGAAGCAGTGCTTCATTTCCTCCTCATAGTTATCGGTTCTTCTTCCAGTCATTTATTTCAAACACAAAACTGCAAAGACACAAACATGTTCCAAATATGGACAGTTTTTACAAAGAATGAATTCTGACCAGCACAAAATGAGCATCAATCTTAATTTCTCTCCACAGTAAACAGAAGAGCATATCCAAACAAAATGAAAAAAATGGAAAAAGTCAATTAACTGAAAAGACATTTTATTTTACATACAGGCAAAAAGTTAAGATACTGTAGATTAGCTGTACATCCTCCATAACAGTCAAAGGACAAAGAAAAAGAGATATAATACAGTAAATGTACATATGCATGTGCTGAAGTGGGAAGTATGATGGGGGAACATGCACAGCATGCAGCCTTATGTGTTTCTGCAGTAATGCATAGTACATGTCTGGATTCGCACACTGTGCTATTTCATGGCATCAGACATCAGGAAAAATCCACTTTGTATTTGTGCTACATTTTGTTTCTTTGCCATCTTCCGAAGTTACAGAAAGTAAAAGGAAAATATTAATGACACATAAAACAAAAGATTGAAATGTCTTTACAAATCATTTTTTAAATATTCCAAACGTTAACAAAATATTGTAACGTACAAACAAGTATGAAATATTATACCATTACAAGGAAAAAAAAATCTGTAAACTTAACAAAGCTGCAGAGAATGCCCCACCTGATCCCTTCACCATCTTGTCATTTTCATACTACTTTAACATCATTCAGCACTTTGAGGTGGTTCCCACTGGTTAACTTAGGTCAACAGATTGTCCAGTGATTTCTTCCTCTGGCCCCAAATTCTTAGCAGTTTCTCTATGTAGTATATTCTCCAGTCACCATATATGAAGCTACACCAAGCACCCATAATTCTCTCTTGTTCATCTGGTTTTACACAGTTTTTATTTTGTTCCAAGCCAGTTCCTTGATTTTACTGTACATGTTTTAAGCAAAAGCTGGGTAAATCTGATCATCTGATAAATAAGCAACTGCATTGCAACAGTTTGTCCATTTCTTCTTATTATTCATTTTTTTTTGTAAAAAAAAAAAGACACACGAAAGACACAGTAGTTACCTAGAATACCTACACTGACTACTTTTTTTTTTTATAATGTACCGTTTCTTACATGCATACAATTAATTACATGCAGTTTGTTTCTATAAGTTAACCAATCATACCAATCATTACTCAAACCATACAAAGATATTTTAAAATGGCATTTTATCAGCATTTTCTATGATACCCAAATGTCAGGACTATTTCTCTATTATGAAGTAGCACAGATGGTACATGATTTTCACAAAGACTGAAATCAGACAAATTCAAAATAAATTATTATTGCAATGGTGGTGAAAGGCATTTAAAGGGTGTCTTTTTCAAATTGAACAAAAACCTGCAGTTTTCAAAGACAAATTATAAATATTGGTATGTTGGTATCGGAATAAGTGCCTAAGACTTAGGATTTAGCAATAGTGTAACTGAGACAGTGCCCAGTTCAACATTAAGAGTATAAACAGCAGTACCTGACAGGGCTGAATATTGTAATAGATGTTAAATAAGAACCGTGAACTTAAATAGACGCAAAATAAATATTGAACATTAAAATTAAACAAAAATAAATATTTAAAAAGCTTCATTGTTCAGTCGTTCAGTCAGGTTATATTTCCATTTTCTATATATTGGACCAAAAAGCAAAAATTGTTATACAAACACACCTGTTAAGCTGCCATTACTATAGGTACTGTAGTCCTACCACAATGAACAGTGGACAATGAGAGTAACATGCTAGGCAGGTCAGGCCAGACCTCTTCTTCCTCAGGCATATTCTGGGTCTGCCTCAGGGCCTCCGCCCAGTGGACATGTCTGGAATGCCTGATACCCCAAGCTACCCCAGATGACTCTTATTGTCTGAGCTCCCCCAGACCACTAAACTCTTCACCAACACGGATAGTGAGCTTGGAAACCCAGCATAGAATCCTCATTTAAGCCACACACACTGGTGACCTCGTTCATACGGTCATTACCATTTGGACAGCAAGCATAAGTAGAAAAGAGAAACATCACAGCATAAATTGAAAAATGTCAATTAAGATAGTTTCCTCTAAGCTGAGCTTGCAATCACCTGTGAAGGAAGTGAATCGCTCAAAGTTACCGCGGTCCCTTTAACTCGTGGCATAATTTTGTACTTTACAGTAGAGTCTCCCATGGCTTCCAGAGAAAGGTCACTCAGATGCCTTCCTGTTTGCTGCCACTGGCAGGTCCAAGATTGAACAGAACTCCTCAGCATTTGTGAAAGGGCAAGACCTACAAATATCACCAGGTGCTTCACTTCATACACAATGAATGTTAGTGATTTCTAAAAGCATTGGTTATGATTTTAATTTTGATCTCTTGAAATATATTATTGGTCATGATAGGTTTTTTTCTATTTAAAAATATTTACTGTGAATAGATCATAAGTAAGCTCTGGATTTTAAGTAGTGATAATAATGATAATCATCATCATGAAAAAGCAAATAATCTAGGACATTAATACATATGTGTTTTTCTTGCATCTTAATAAAAGGCACCTCAATTATCTACTTTCATTTTAACTAGACTCTGGCCTGCTACAATAAGCAGCTGGCTCTAAAACAAAAGATTCTTAAGATAGAAGATAGATTAGGACAATTAGGAAAGTAAAATTTAAAATTCCATGGAATCACGGAAGAACCTTATTTCCTATGAACACATTATAATTTACAATAATGAACAAGTATACAGGCCTACTAAGAAAAAAGACTGTTTTTCTAAAGCATACTAAAAATTCACTAGGTTTGTTCATGCTGCACTCAGCTGTGGTTAGAATACTCTATTTTGCCAACTTTAATTGATCCTTATTAACATTATTAAGCACGGACTTTATAGCTGTAATCTACGGTGAGTCAATAAAGGGTGACTGGTAAGGAAGGAAGTCAATGTGCTGAGAAGTTCTGTACATGCTACATAACTTTAAATATATTACTTTTTCCTTTAATAATTTCTACCAGAATGAATAATCACATTGTTTTTGTCTCCACTGTCTCCATGGCAACAGCTCCTGTTGCCTCATTTACCTTCCATTTAGCACAAATGAAGCAGCCAGGCAAGAGTGAGATGCCATTTCTACTTCCTGCTCTTCACTTTGCACCCACAATGCAAGCACTGCCATTCTTCCTGTCTAGCCATTGCATTTCATGGGAATTACTCTGCTTGTTTCTCAACATGCTGCTCTCTCCCAGATAACTCACTGACAGCAACCTCTACCCATCCAATACAAATAGTACTCATGCAGCTGCCAAGTCGACAGCGCCTACATCTTGCCAGAGCCCTACAGAAGAGACTGTCTAAGCTGGTAATCTGGGTTCAATCTTGAGTGACAGATCATATAGTGTGTCTTCATCCATAATTAGGGTTTTGTCGAGTAGGTACTGAGTGACCTGTTGGTAGGAACAGAACAGAAAAACTAGCTGTGTTTAGGACAGTCAGGATGATCTAAAGATCTAGAACAGGGTTCTTCAAATCTGGACCTTGATTCCAAATCCAGGCCTTGTTTTCAGTTCTCCCCGGTAGTTAATTTAATAATTACTGATTCTGATTGGTCAGAGGCTTCACACCTGACTGACAGGTGAAGGAAGGCTGGAAAACCAGCAGTGCTCGGACCTCGAGGACCGTGATTTGAATAACCCTGATCTAGAATGTGAATGCGATTCACAGGTCAATCTTAGTTGATTGCTATACCCTCATTACAAGCAACCCCCCTGGTCAGCAAAATATATCGAGTGAGACCCCCTCTAATCTAGCAAATGTCAAATGTAAAATATCTACCACATATATATCAAAGTGTCTCTCATTGTCAAAAAGTTTGAATACCAGGGCAGTACGCATCTATGAGCTTCACTGATTCAGACATAAGTCTTTACAATAAAGGACCCTGATTTTAATGTAATGCCCAAATCAGTCAAATGACTCTTTAACTAGATTGCTCTGTCCATTAAGTTCCTTTTCTCATTCATCAAAGCACAGTGCACATGAATTGTTTTGTATAGATGACAGTTGTTATCTGTTTCTGTTTCCTGTATTCTCTTCTATCATGACATAATTCAAATAATAATGAATGAGGCTTGATGCATAACAGCTGTGCTATATCCTTCACTTCTAGCCATGCTTCACCGGGAATTACCTTTGGTTGGTGTTCAATCTTGTATGGGGTCTGCTGGAACTGTCGAATCTCTCGAATAATGTGTGATATCTGTAGGTCAGGGAAAAATCTTTCTAGCTGTCTTCTGCAGGCTGAATGGACAAGATAAACTATGTATATTGATCTTCAGGACTCTGAGCTCTGGTATGCTTACCATCCTCATCTTGGAGAAGTTGACAAGGCCCTCCTCCGTGAAGTTAGGTGTGCCCTCCTCAATAAAGGCCAGGTCAGTCAGGTACATACCCAGGTAGGGGACACAGGGGGGATTACAGCTGAGGGGACACAAAGTGATGAACAACGTTGAAGCACATATTTAAGACTCTCACTCATTAAGTTCTAAAAAACTACTGCAGTTCAAAGTAATGAAATGTGGCGCCTTACTTTTTCAGGGTTTCTCTTAAGTTTTTAAATCTTCCTTCAGATGAAACTATCTTTTGCAGTTTGTCCATCAGTGCTTTTGTCTGTCAAAAATAGTTTAAAATAGACCAATTAACCTCCAACTGCATCATGAATTAAATTTTCTAGAAGCACATAATGTCATTTTATCACAAATTTCAAGAACGGGCTTATTTGTATTTCACATTTACCTCTCGGATTGTTGTTGTAGTGGCTCCACACTCACCTGCTTGCACACTTTGGTCCATGTCTTCTTCAGCCTATAGATGGCACTCCGATTAAAGGCAGAAGTGATCTCCAGAACTCCATTGTAATTGTTAAGGCATCGACAGATGTCAGCCACCGCTACCCACTTCTCAATGGAGCTCGCCCTGGAACCCACGTCTGTGTGGGACATGATCTGAGACGCTACCAGATTACTCATCTAGACAAAGAAAAAGACAAAGGATAGCAGAGAATCTGTGCGATGCAGAGATACAAGAACAAGATGTACTGCTGTGACATAAACTTTTCCATATTACTGTAAGATTGCACACATCAATCAAACTTGCACATGTAGTAGTGAATACTTGTGACTAACACAAGTCCAGCAATATAAAATCCCTGACTTTTATTATACTTCTTTGGTTTCAAGTGCACTTTGCACATCTCACATTATTGAAGTGCTGACTCGTCTTCATGATATAAGGTGTCCTCTCAGTCTTGTCCACCTTCATCCATCCCTGGCCAAGAAACTCTCTAATATGCAACATACATAACCACTGTCATAGTCAAACAGGAGCCCATTATATATCATATATATTACACCGGTATCAAATCTCTACCATGATATCATTAACATTTTTCATCTCATTATTTTCACAAAAAGCTGCTTCACTATATTTCTGAAGTGTTTCAAACACTCTCTGGCTAGTTTTACTATAAATTAACACTTACTCATAGGGGATGCTCCTGAAGACAATATGGTCCAACAGGGTGATCTGTTCAGCCAGTTCAATTGCGGATAGCGATTCAAAGCATTCCACTTTGGGACATTCCGCCTGGAGAAGACAATGAAGCATTCATAGATACACATGTACACAAGTAATCACATGACTACAGGGCAAAATAACACTAAAAGATCAGAATAATCAATCAGTTTCTTCATCATGTTTATCCAAAAAAAACACAACAACATTCACTTCAATAATGTCTAAATATATAAGTCAGTGCCATCATAAAAAGCCGCTGTTCCCCGTAAAAAGTTCCCGGCTACTGCAGCTGCATTTAAAAATGAAATAGATGTAACTCCCAGTTTTCAGTCTCAGTGTGACAGGAAATGGCATGGACAGCAAAAACAGAATTTACTGCTTGCATTGATTTTTAATATAAATAAATTTGATTAAATAATACAAACACTTAAAACAATTTATTAATGTGAATAAATAAAAACTGCACCTATGAAAAACGATTTATAGTAAAACTATAATGCACTTTTTATTATGGCAAGAGTATGAACAAGAATGGTAGTCACTGAACCTTCAAACATAAGGTTAACTTAAGAGCAGAAACTTGTTTAAACTGATTGCTGACAGTCTTTTAATGTTTCTTTGGTGGGGTGAGGGAAGTTAGAATCTTAATTTGGCTTCTCAGGGATATGGGGAGACACAGAACATTCAAACACTGAATGATTAGCCATGACACGCACAGGCTGTATCAACTAACTCAACAAACGTATCACCCAGTATCTTACAGTCAGTGCAAGACATGCTCTACATGCAAGGGGCCACCACCTTTTATCCAAGTGTCCCCTGGGTAAACAACAGCATTAAATAATCTTCATTGTTTTAAATGACTACTGTGTGTTTGTATATAATATAAATGTGTCTTCCTTGATGCATTTTAAACTCTGTAAGGAAGCATAATGCTCAGTAGCAGCATCCAGTGCTGGTCAAATCAGCTTTGCACTTGAAAATTAAGCCCACAGGGGGTGCCAAATGTTACGATTCAAATATTACACTCGGTTTAGACCTGAGACTTCATAAGAAATACTTAGAGTTACTGTTTTTCAACCTCAGTTATTGAAACCCCATGGGTATGCTAATTTTTGTTTTAGTCTGAGATCTTAATTAATTTCTTTCAATTAAACTGCAAATTAAATGAAGCAAACAAAATGCAATTCATGTTGCAGGGTCACTAATTTTCTAAAGTTGCATTATCTGCATTTTTAATTTGGTCAAGCAATACTTGGGAAAAACATCAGAAAGTAATAAAAGGATATGACGTTTTGTAAGCTGGTAAAAGTGAATATTTTTCCAATGATAATAAAGGGAAGTGACAGAAAATGTATGTACATGCCTGATACGTGATATGATTCGTGATATTGGACTATTTTTAACCAGCAACTATAAAGAATTACTAACTGTGTATGTGCTATAAAGATAATTTTAATTCTCCTTCTAATTCACCCCAGAGTCATACATGCTGTGCTTTTGAGACTCTTTGTAGCTTCAACGTCATTGTACAGCATCACCGTCAGCATCACCACTTCGCTAATCAGAAATAGAGAACTGAATTTTCACCTGAGCCCTAAGGATGTTATTTTGTATGTCATTCTACTGAACAACAATCGGCCCTTTTTAAGTCTTGTGAAATGTAACATTACTTTAAAGAAATAAACAAATAAATGCACAAATAAATAACCCTCTAATGCATTCCATTATAAACAGCAGATAATTCTGTCAGTGTACAGCTTTGATAAAAGCTGAAACTGAATTACCACTGTAAACACAGCGCTAGTTGATTAACAAGTTCAACAGCCAAAAAATGTTGTTCAGTGAACCAGTCTGTTTCATATTTTTACCTAAAAGAAGGCTTTTATAATGAAATTGCAATTTTATAATTACTGAAAGTTTAAAGATTTTTTTAAGTCCACATGTAATCTTGCAAGTAATGCTCACATCTGGTACAATTTCAGTTCAATTAATAGGTTTTGTGTTAAATAAAATCATGTAACTACAAGTGTCAATAAAATGGACAATTTGCCATTGTCAATGAAATTGTCAGCATTTTTGCTTTCAATATTAACCCAAATACATAGATCTGACCTAAGATTATGCAGGTAACCAGGAATCTCCTGGACAATCACGGGGAAAAGGTGAGAGAAAGTAGCTGGATTTGCAATCTGTGGGAACATGTTGAATCAGATGTTGGGAGCAAAGTTCAAGTCTCCACCCTAGTTCCACCACCTGGCATTGGTTTACAGACGACCAGCAAATTCAACATGAATTTTGTTTTTGCAAAATCTCATAAGGTGAAAATCAACAGGAATATCTTCAGAAGTACCTTGCTTATGGAAGCAGTTTATCTGATAAATTGTAGACTTTCACACTGTATAGAACACATAGGAGGTAAAAAATGCAGTGATGAAAATCCACACACTGCAATAATATAACTCTATATATATCTGTAACTCTGGGTAAGATTCTCCTGAGCTCCCCCCCTCCCCCCACACCCCAACCCCCCACGGCAGCAGAAATGTGTTTAAATAACTGTGTAATGTCATGTAATGCAACCAGTGGAATTTCTTCTGATTTTTTTCATTCGTCCATTTGCACCCCCTAATGAAATAGCTCCCTAAGGCCTAAGCGATCACCTGTGTTGCCTATAGAACTGGCTGGTCTTGAGCTGCAGTATTAAAGACCTCATACTACAACAATGAATAAAAAATGAAAGTGCAGATGAATACCGGAATTGTGACTATTACACCAGTTAATTTACTCACCATTTGCAAGATGTCCTCTATCCTGAGCTGTGCATCCTCTTGGTCATCTTGAGAAAGAGCGCTATAAGAAAGTATATTAAATCTGATTACATCAAATTTCTTTTTGATCCCTCTTAAATAACTTCAGTGCTATGCAAAGGTCTTAGTCCATCACTAGCCTGGGCTTAACTTGATATCCGTTACCTGAGGATGTTTGCTGTGGCTTTCCTCTCTTGGGGCAGCAGGTCTGGGTCCCGCAGCACCTCTTCCAGCAGGGAGATCACACATATCTTCAGCTCACTGTTCATCTCAAAGTCCTATCAAACAGAGGCCCAACATCAACGATCAAACTCCAGCAGGGTGATGTACCAGATTCACTAAAGAAAGCATTAATGACATTAAAGACTTTTCTTAATGGTACCCATTGTCACGATCCGCTCCGTTCGATCCCGATGTGTGCCATGCCCACCTCGTTACCTCGTGTTCAGCCCTGATTGTGATCACCTGAGTCCTGTTATGTCTAGCTTGTCTTTTGTATTTAGTCCTCGTCTGAGTCAGTCTTCCCCAGATCTGTCATTGTATTGTTCGGATGTTTGTTCTTGTCAGCCTTCCCGCGCCTAATAAAACCCCGTTTTATTTACGGCTCCGATCTCCTGCCTTCCGGCTCGCTTGCCAGCGATCCTAACACCCATTTCCTTCATACTGGTGGGGGTGGTGTGTGCTTCTGTGCCTGTGACCGGAAGGCCGCTGGTTCACACCTGAGTGATTTTGCTGTTGGGGCCTTGAGCAATGCCCTTAACCACAATGTCTCCAGGGCTGACTCAGCTTTCTCAACGCTATGTCACTTTGGATAAAGGCATCTACTAAATAATATAAATGCAATATATAAATGTAAGGGAAGGGCATCTCTGAAAGCACACCACGTTGAACCTTGAAACAGATGGGCTACTGCAGCAGAAGACCACACCGGGTGGCACTCCTGTTCAGATGGTAGGGACAGACTTTTGTGTAAACAACACGAAAGCATGGATCCGTCTTGCCTTGTATGAACAATTCAGGCTGGTGGCATGATGGGGTGGGGGATATTTTCTTGGCACAGTTTGGGCACCTTAATACTAACTGAGCATCATTTATTATTATTATGATAATAATAATACATTTTATTTATATAGCACTTTTCAAAAAAGGATGTAATGTTATTCCACTTATAAGCATTGGCAAGTTTCACCACTGGCACTGATGATATTAGACAAAAGTTAGCAATCAAATGTTCCAATGCAGAAATATGGAGACAAGCAAAAAAAAAATCTATTAACTGACGCATTACATGTAATTGAGGTACAAAAATAATTCCATCTGCTGTAAGTGCTTCCCCAGCAGTTCATGTTTGAATGAAAAGTACCTCTTCTGGAGTAGGTACTAAAAAAGGGTTCTGGAACTGCCTCTGAAGGACTACAATTAGGCCGAGTTCTGGCAGTGTGAACATAAAAGTTCTAGAAAAAGGTTCTTGTTGCAGATAAAAGTTCCAGTGGTGTGAAAGTGCCTAAAGGTATTAAACATTTTATGGATAAGCAGGGTTATGGGCTTGAGCAAACAATAAGGTTTTCAGTTTGGTTTTGAAATTGGTGAAATTGGCATTTTAATCACCACAAAAAGAATGCCATTCAGTCTCTATATTCTAGAGAGACCCGACATTTCTACGAGCGATATCTCCAAAACTAGACAACAACCAGCAGAACAACCTGGATGGATAGCACTAAAGCCCCTCTAAAACGCATCTGTTTTTTTTAGCTTTGGGGTGAGCTGCCCCTTTAACAAAAAAAATTATATTAATTGGTTATTATGTTCCATATTATGTAAAATGATGTAGCTATGTGACGGGGCTAATTTTATTTTTAGCAGCGATTATGTTGACATATGGGAATCATAATAAGCAAAATAATTTAAGTCAAAGTAATGACAAAGACAGACTAGGGTACTTTCAGAGGTTAAATGAGATGTACAGGTCGGGAAAAAAATTAAGAGACCACTCCATATATATTTTTTTTAAATCTGCATTTTTAAATCTTGGTTTAATCGTAATTCTGCTAGCAAATGGCTACATGGCAGGCTGCTTCCAGACTGAAAATTTCTAAGACAGCAGTACACAAGAAAAATTAGCACAAATGTGAAACAGAAGACACTGGGAATGACCAAAAACCAGCCAGGCAGTGGGCGGAAGCAACTTTCTAATGGCAGAGATGACCGTCAACTTATCCGACAGTTCCTCATGAATCGAAAGGTGACATCAAGTGACCTTCAAAAGGAATGGGAAACATTAAGTGCAGGTGTGAAGTCCACAGCAAGGACAGTTCACATCAGGCTCCTAGAAGCAGGACTGAAGACCCATAAAGCAAGGAAGAAGCCCTTCATCAATGAGAAGCAGGGAAGAGCCAGGCTAAAGTTTGCAAAAAAAAGTGTATATTTTACATAGATGCATACACATAAATTGAAAGTGAAACAAAAAAATGTGCTATGGTCTCTTAATTTTTTCCAGAGCTGTATCTTTGACTAACCTCGCATTATTGGGTGAGTCCATCAAACCCGAATGCTTTCTTTTAAGATGTATTAGCATTACAGACATGCTGTAGTGATATTTAAGCCCCACTTTGCAATACTGACAGACGACTGCATTCGGATTCACTTTTAATGTGAAGTACTTCCGCGCAAACGATCCTTTCACTCTATATTTGAACCCTTATCCTGTCAGCCTTCTGCCATATTACCGAGTAATCGAGAAGGAAAATTTTAATTGAAGCTTTTTAATAATCAAGTAATGAAGTTTAATCGAGTAACAGCTCTAATCTGAAGTTGATGGAGAGATTTAGCAGTGATATTAGTGAGTAGTGAGTTGCAGTAGTCTAGACAGCTAGACATAAAGGTATGAATGAGAGACTCAGCAGCAGAGTTAGACAGGCAGGGCCTAAGCTGTGAGGATGGAAGTAAGCTCTTTTTACTATGGAACATACAGTATGTGGGTTAAATGAGAGGGTTGGGTCAAAGGTAACAGGTAAACAGGAGATGGTGTTATGGTCCAATTAGAAGGTAATCAGCCTCATTTTGTTGAGTGTAGATTTTGACCCAATGATAATAATTTCTGCTTCATCGCTGCTAAGCTTTACAAACTTGTGGCTTATTCATAGTTTAGTTTCACAGACACATGACTTGATAGTGGCAAGTTCTCTATGGAGCTGGTACTGAAGTAGATTGCGGTGTCGTTGGCATTGAAATGTAAATTTAGACTGAAGTGGCAAATGATCTGACCCAGAGGATTAATGTAAATGATTAAGAGCAGTGACCCTTGAACAGAGCCCAGGGGGATACGACGTGTGATAACTGATGTATGTGACTTATAACCTGATAGAATGATGAAATGTTTTCTGTCAGTGAAATTTGAGATGAACCAGTCAACCGCTGCCCCACAAATACCTAGATCATGGAGTCTCTGAATCAGCATAGAGTGCGAAATAATGTCAAAGGCTGCACTTAAATCAAGTAAAATAGGAGGCTTATGGCACCAGAGTCAATTGCAATAAGGAGATCACTTAAAACCTTAACTAAGGCAGTTTCTGTACTGCAGAATTGATGGACACCGGACTGACGTGATTAAAGGAGGCTGTTTATTGGAGATGGGTAAGAAGCTGGGAGTAGATTATACGTTCCAAAATTTTTGAAAAGAAAGGAATATTTTAAATCGGGCAACAGTTACCAAGGTTAGTTAGGTTGAGGCCAGGCTTTTTAAGAATGGGGGTAACAATTAATAATTTGAGAATAGTGGGAACATGACCATGGGCTAGGGATAGAAGAGGGTGGTGAGGGTGGGGGCCAAGCACCGGGAGAGATTTCAGAGTTAGGGGTGTAAGGAAAGGGTCAAGTGAACGAGTTTGCAGTAAAGATTACGTTATAAACCTCAGAAAAACTGAAAGGAGAGAAGTTATTTAAACAGCTAGTCGGATTTAGCACATTTGGAAGAAACTGAAAAACTGAATCTGCATTTGAGTTGTTTGAGTCTAGAGAGTCAGAGATGGCCGAGATTAAATGTCACAGCCTACCTGAATATTGTTGCTAACCACGTCCATCCATTTATGACCACAGTGTATCCAGCATCTAATGGCTACTTCCAGGCAGGATAAATGCACAATGTCGCAGAGCTTATATCATCTCAGACTGGTTTCTTGAACAAGATAATGAGTTCACTGTACTTCACTGTACCACAGTGAGCAGATCTGAATCCAACAGAGAACCTATGGGATGCGGTGGGATGGGAGATTGGCATCATGAAAGTGCAGCTTACAAATCTGCAGCAGCTGTGTGATGCTAAAATGTCAACAAGGACCACAGATATATTAGTAATATACACTAATTGTGAGACACCTGAATGGAAATAATATTTTTTAAAATCTTGTGCACACAAGAAATTATATTGTGTGCACAAGATATTACCTACTTAATAAACCCAAAAATCCAAGGGGTGTGCACTGTGCCCCATAATCCACAATTCAAAGAACTCTTCAGTAGATGTCCCAGTCTCATGTTTTAGAGTTATTAGACCTTTGTGCTATGAATGAGCACCTGACAGTAAGTGAATGTGAGGTGATCATTCAAAAGTAATTAAAATTCACCCATAAAGAAATCTGAAACCTGAAGGGGTGTACAACAGTTGCAATGAACTTAAAATGCTGAACCAACATCTCGTTACAGCTGAAGTAGCCTATTTTTGTATCCATTAACAAGATTAAACACAAATAGCGAATCACAAAACTGATTGCTGTGCATGTGTGTGTAGACTTGTCTAAAACTGAAAATCTCACTCCAGCCAGCTAACCAAACTAAAACCCTGAGAATGTCTTTGTAAGATGTTCTAAGATTGAAGTAGAATTTTATGATCTGTTTTAGTCGCTCCGTATTCACATAAATGTGCTCAATACTCACAATAATACAGTTCTGGAAAAATTAAGAGACCACTCTATATTAAAAAAATCTGTTTTTTTAAGCCCTGGTTTAATCCTGGTTCTGCTGGCAGAAGCTATGCTGAGCAGCAGGTTGCTTCCAGGTTCCAAATTTCTAAGACAGCAGTACACAAGAACACGGTGAAGCAGGAGACACTGGGAATATCCAGAAACCAGTCAGGTAAAGGGCAGAAATGAATTTCTAATGTCAGAGATGACTGTAAACTTATCCAACAGTTTCTCATGAAGCAGAGGATGACATCAAGTGACCTTCAAAAGGAATGGGAAACATTAAGTGCAGGTGTGAAGTGCACTGCTAGGACAGTTCGTGTCAGGCTCCTAGAAGCAGGACTGAAGTCCCATAAAGCAAGAAGAAGCCCTTCATTAATGAATGAATGAGTAACAGAAAAGAACCAGGCTGCAGTTTGCTCTGGTCTCTTAATTTTTTCCAGAGCTGTATATTGTGCTCACACAATAATTATATAAACTGTATATTTATATATGGTTGTGCGCCAAAGATGAAAAATAGTATTCTTTGGGACTTCTTGGGCTCTGTACTCCTGATATAGTATGACTCATGATTAATAGGAATGTCATGTAAAGGGTGATTTATATTTCTGTGTAGAATCTACACCTTAGCTAGCCACATACCCTATGCTGCCGCTGACGTACACGTAGAAACGTAACTACAGGCGTCAGGATACAGCGTAGGATACCCAGCTACACAGTTATTGATGGCGTCAATTCGCCGCAGAACGATAAAACAGCCTTAACAGGTACAGGAGAATGGGCAGCACTGCCAGCCATATAATGAACCACTGTTCATATCTAGGTTACACTGCAGTGTGTGTGTATATGTGATGTGTGCATACGGATGGACAGCTACAATTTCAACATACGCTCAAACTGACTTGCGTCCGGTGGTCCCCATCCCAAATGTGAAGGCAAGTCAACGCAAGGCTGTATGTATGCCATGAATATGTAGAATGTCCCTGTAATATAATGGAGTGCTGATACACACTCAAAGAATGTAATGAGGCCAAGCAGTGGAGCTGTACTGCTTCCTGCACATTTGATAGACACTGAAGCTAAGCAGAGGAGAAACTGCGATGCTTCTTCCATGACTATCTGCCAAAAATCATTACAGGCTGCTTTTTTTAATACAGGTCTCACTTTTCCCATTTCATTTAGCAATACTGCAGCGGTTCCCATAGTGGAATAACGGTTCAGATACTATCTTCTTACATTCACAAACTTACATAAATATATAGTATTATATAAGCTTATATTTTATATGTATCCTTACATATGGAGCTCTGGCAGCTACAGTTAACTCAGACTATGCATCTCAGAAAAACAGACTAGCTAGCTAGATAACTGATTTACATTACATAACAGCAGAGCAGTATAAGAAACAAAATGGGGTATGAAGTGTTTTTGCAAATTTTTATGAAATATACTGGTTTTGTAGATATTTGTCAACAATTTGCAGATACCAGATAATAAAGCTGTGAAACGCTGTACTGTTTTATATTCTTTCACTAATGAAAAGCACTAGCGCAACGCATCTGGGGAAAAAAAAAATTGAATGAATATTTAAAAAAATGAAAGTGCATTTAATGGTACTACATGCATATAGAAAATGATTATTAGCTTTGTGTATAGATGCAACATACCTATACACAATTTCAATCCCTTAAAATCACACCTACAACTTGGATAGAACAAAAGCAGGTTTTGATCTGATCCTCAGTCAGTGTATGTTGGTGGAGAGAAAGCATTACTTTTCAGTCAATGTAACATGGAGCCAGGCCGTCAGATACTATATGATGTCCCTGTTAATTACAGATTCACAGGAGGCAGAAAAAGCACTGTGCAGTCATCGCATTTCATTAGCATTTCTAGGCATCTACCCCCAAGGAACAGGACAGCAGTCTGAGCAGAGCCGAGAAGGTACATCTGAACAGCAATCCAACTCCAGCCAGAAAATCGAACATAATGAAGTCATTTTCAAATGTGAGCCGCTTCCTTCATTTTACTTCACTTATTTTGTCTGACATGCCAAACTCTATGCAATTAATATATGTAACTAGACCAATAATCATTAGCAAGGCCTCACTTCCCCTAATTTGTGGAGGGGTATGCAAATAGTTTTATCCTCACAGTCTAGAATTGAGTCATCATTTCATAACAAGAAAATAACAAAACATTGACAATGGATAATGATGTATGCCTGTAACAGTTTAGCTTTTATATGGCTGAAGATAATACAGTCTTTACATTATAAGAAAGCAGATGAGACATGAGCGAATCTGCCAGTCATTGTCAGATGGAATATCTGTGGATATTAAAGCTAAGCGATGCCTAGGGAGGTTGCCATCCCTTACCAGCAGCAGTGAGGGCAAGTATTCAGTTCCATGGCGATGATTTTTGGAAGGACGAGTGATACCCCTGCAGTATGTGGAGGGAAAAGGCCAAGGAGGAGCGACTCTGCATTTATAACATAATAAATACAATAAAATATTTATAGCTCTTTTCACAGTGCCATGAGCACTGGACAAGAGAATCTGTGCAGTGAGGTGCTTACATAGGCAATACTAAGCTTTTTTCCTTCTCCGAAATGGTAATTTTGTATCTGTTTGGAAAGTTTCATTGTGATGTCCGGTTCTCTCTTTGAAAAGAGAATCTCCTAATAAAACTCAGGACCATTTTGAAGCCCTCGTGTGACGTTCTTTTCCTCTGGGTCCAGGTTCTCCCACACATGCAAACGGAGCCTAATTATCTCATGACAGTCTTCACATGACTGAGTCTCGCCACCGGTGCAATACTTTCCAGTTGCTTGGATTTCATGGTTAAACCAGAGCTACCAATTAAAATGATTCAGAGTATAGGATGTGACTGCTTGCTACTGACCCCATTTTAATATTGAGTCCAACATGATAATGACAGAGCCACAGCTGTGTTCTTACACAACAGCAGACAATTTGGAAAATGTCAATTTAATACACTTGAATCTGTTACTAAATCATTATATGCATAGGAGCACGTCAACTGAAATAAACACAGTGTAACAGTCTAACAGACCCATAACAGTAAATTTCTCCTCTTATCATAAAGGCAATTACAAAAATTACCAAAACATAAACTAAACTTCCGTGACATCCATCTTCGCTTGCTGTTCCCTCTATACCATACCTACTCCTTTTCCTCACCAAGATGACATAATCACTCATTAGTGCCATCAGAAAGAAAGTCATAGCAAAATCTTTAACAGACAGCAGTTTTCAAAGGCTCTGCAGAATTAGCAAAAAGAAATAGGCAGGCCTATGCAATCCAAGAATTGAAACCTCTGTACATACATAATCACATATATAATACATAATTTAGTAAAGCAGAGGTTCAGAGCACTAACCCAGCCAGACCTGTTCAGCGAAGTGGCCTTGTTCAGTTGATGCTATTGAGCAGCAAAACTCAGCCTATTTAATTTACTGCTGCAGTAGGAATAGGAGCAAGCAGTACAAGCTGTAGAGTCGTCGCGCTTCTAACAGGAATGTACTTTAATGAGATGCAGGATCAATAGAGCTCCCTGTGCCAATGCTCTGTTTAGCATTTGCTTAATTTCCTGACATAATATTGCTGGTAGCATTGCTGGTAGCATGTTTTCTTTGAGCTACTTCACTGTACCTCAACCACTGAAACTTAGGGCTTTATAAGACCCCTCTTTCAAACTACAGCACTGCAGGTAGAATAAGAGAAAGTTTGTTTTCCTTATATCCTTATATGCTTCTTCTAGGGAGGGTATGTGAAATTAGAATTCACACATTTGAAACTAATATGTAGTTAGTTCCTCAGTGTGCTTCTTTGACAATTTCAGACAACACATCAAACAAAACATAAAGAGTAGCTCCAGCACAGTTCACTACTTGATAAATTCAGATTTGTGTTAGTTAATGGTTCATTTTATTGGTAGGAAAGCCATTAAATTGACAAAAACCAGCTATATGCAGAATCATGACTGTGCCTACATCATAGTCCTGCCCATAAATTTCCGTATAACAGCTGAGGAGAAATACGGTTGCTTTAGTGACACAGTCTATGTTATTCGACTGCTGGCAAACTGTATGCAGTCATGCACCACATAACGACGTTTTGGTCAATGACGGACCGCATATACAACGGTGGTCCCATAAGATTATAATGAAGCTGAAAAATTCCTATCGCCTAGTGATGTCGTAGCCGTTGTAATGTCATAGTGCAATGCATTACTAACAAGTTGTCTAAAAGTATAGCACATACAATTACATACATTATATAATACTTGATAATGACTATAATGTTACTGGTTTATGTCTTTACAATACTGTACTTTTTATTGTTATTTAGACTATACCATATACCCTAGGTGGGCAGTAGGCTATACCATCTAGCTTTGTTTAAGTAAACTCTATGATCAAAGCCAATTTCCTTTTTTATTCAATGACAAAATTTCTGATTTAGCCCGATACTAATGAAGCATTTCTCAGAACGTAGCTCTATCATAAAGCGACACATGACTGTATTCTTTCTATTTTCACTGAACTGCTTTAGTGGCCCAAGAACAGGAATTTAAACTTTCCCTGTTTTTCAAGAAGTGCAAGTGGTGGAATTTTTTAATTTTTTAACTTGAAGGTTCAGCTCTTTCTTATCAGACATTGCAGTTGACTTGATGTGATGTTTATTCACTGAAGTTCCTTTTTTCTAAGATTACATTTTATCTGAAGATATTAGAGGATTCCTTTTCAAAAATATCTGAAAGCAGAGGATATCAGTAAAACTGTAACTGGTGATTTGAGTTCATTGTTGTTCCAGAATAAATTCTATTTATTATTCTATCTATTATTTATTTCAACAAATAATTTTGTTTCAATGTCCCAGTTGTATAAAAATTAGGCTATAAAAAGAGTATAAAGATGTATCGGAGTTATGAAGGGGAAAGTCGTGCATACCTGTGAATGTTTGGAGACCCAGTGACGAAGGACATTCAGGACTCTGTTAGTAGCTGCTCTGCGTATAATAAAATCCTTGTCACACATCCTTTCTGAGTTGCTAAAAGCTGAAAATAGACAAGGCAGGAATTTGAGCACCATTCATTTCCTAAGCAGGACAAAATCGGCTGGAAACTGAAACTTCGTCACAATAAGGATCACTGATTAAAAGAAGAGTGTAAATTAAGATATTAATCAGAAAAAAAATAAATGTACATTAAGTTGATTGTCTCAGGAGTAAAAACTGTCATACACAATATTTAATTGGAAAAGTAGAATTTTATAAAAATGTTAAAATTTACTGGGGGAGCCATATGTTAGATTAGGGTAAGATCATGAGAATCCAGTTCGACTTAAATGGGCTATTTGTCACCTGGAGGGCTGCTGTGCCCAGCTGCCGCCGTGGCGATGGCAAAGGCTGATGCGGGGGACACAGTACAACGGGAATTTTCACCTGATGGCACTGCAGCAAGGCAGAGGGGCAGTGCCATTAGAAGTGGTCTTAAACATCACAAGTTTAAGTTCTTATCTATAATAAGACTTTTTGAAGGAAAGTCACACTGTGTTATTTATCTATATTATTCAAGAAAGCGGTTTGAGTGAAAAGCAAGAATATAAAACCTGGAGAATTCTTTTTTTGCAGTTTCTAGGCTGGGCCCCTTCTGATCCCCCATCACTATCTGTGTGGATGAGCTTCATCGCCCAGAAGTGCAGTGGGCACCATGAGGCACACTTACCTCCAGGCTGTCGGTACCGGAGGTGACGGGGTGTAGACGGGGAGTGGCAAGGGGAACAATCGCCCGATTCGCTGGCCTGAGGCGTCTCTGGGCTAAACTTGTCCAGTGATACAGACTCCAACACCGCTGTCAAAAGCACACAGTGCACTGATGAAAAATTAATTCAAGTATCCTGGGTATGGCTTTAAAGGCTGATTTGGCCCTTATCAGAGCTGAAACCAAACCTACACCCATGCTGGAAACCTAAGGTTAGTCATCATATTGACTATTAGGAACTTTGGATCTAAAAAAGGCCAAAAGTTTTTCATAATATTCTTCATCTGTATGAGGAAGCCATTAAAGTAATTTCTACATGATGACTGACTGCCCGTTTTAATTACAGTAAAAAGTGACCAAAAATCTATGCATATCAAAGGTCTATATACATCATTTACATTTTTTAAATAATAATATCCTGAACATATTGTCATTTAATAACTGACTGCTTGCTAAATGGGTTTTTAAAGATCTACTTCAAATTGTCTTGTTTTTTTCTTTTTAATGTAAGACAGCATGTCACAGTCATTTCTGATTATATATTCTCTATTGTTCTGACATCAGCTGGTCTGCATTCATAATTCACAGCTAATACTTCCAAACAACACTGAGCTCTTTTAAATGCGAATCACAATCACACTACCACTTATCATAAAAACCGCTTGTTGTTGCCAAAGTCAAAAGACGAGAGGATAATGTCGGCAGATGCCATAAGAGTTACTGCATATCTGAAGTAGACAATCAGAATTGTGTCAGTCATTCAACAAACCATTGGACCCTCAGTCAGACAAAGTTTGCATTTCTTTTTCCATTTTGTCCTTTTCTTTCTTTTCTTTACATTCCCTTAATGGGGAGCATTGCAGTGGCTCATAATACATTGTTGTGGTTTTTGAACCTTCCATTATGTGTGTGTTTTCCATCTTGGGTGAACCCCAACCTTGTGTCCTATGTTGCTTGGGATGGCTACTGGGCCCTCCACAGCAACCCTGACCAGAATACGCAGTTGGATGGTAGATGGATGTGTTTAACATTTAGCCAGTGCCTGTTTCAGGATTACACAGGTCACTAAAAGGGATAATTACAACACAGTGTAGAGCTCCTTAATCAGGCAAAGGCACACGGTCCATTTGCGGCTTAATGTCGATTAAAAGGGTTTCTTTCTTGCTTCTAAAAATCAGCTTTTGCTTTGGCTAGGCAGGATGTAGACTATCCAGATGGATCTTACACATGTCAACTTATAAATATATTTTTTTTCTGATATCGAACCACTCCTGCAAAACCAGCCTGTGATTCGATGCAACAGCGGCCCACATTTCTTCACGCCCACGGACAGAATAACAAAATAACCTAATTGTGATGGCCACAAAAGACGAGAGACAATCATTGTTCTAACCAACTTTAACTGAGGCATCCATTATCAGTAAAAGAAGGGTGAAAAATGTATATTTTTTTACGTATATTTTTTTAATGCATATTTTAACATGCTATCTTGTGGCCTCCTCATCCTGTAGTTCTTGCAATTGTGCCACAGGGCTATGCATCCCCTAAAACACAGACATAATACCTTCACCTGACACCTGGAATTTTTGCAATCAACATTCTTTACAGTGTGGATAATAATTACACCATATGCCGCAAACTGTGTATTAGCAAGTATTTGCAGAAGATTATCCTGTTTATTCAGCAAAATTTCTGGCTTGTGATTAAATTCTTCATATGCAATTTAAGAGGATAAGCAGACGTACTGAATGGAAATAATTTGACCTTGGTCTGGCACTTACCAGTAAATAAAATCATAAAAGGAATATCAGCAGTCCATACAAAACAAGAACACAATCAATGGCACTAACTGAAACCATTTAAAATTATTTGATTTGCTTTGTCGAAGAGACATGGAAACAACAACTTGTTCAATAACAGATTCAATAATTTCACTGTTCAGTTCTCTGTAGGCTTTTCTAAAGGGGGTAATTAGTACACATCCATGTACTCGTCACAGCACACCCAGGCTAACCCCCCGACACTTTACCACCATGTGAGAGCGTGGCTTACCCCTCCGGATGCTACGCCGCATTTTCCCACAAAAAGCATCTGCTCGAGGCAGCTCTCCGTTGTCCTCTGGGGTCCCTGGACACTGCTCGGGTGAGGTGGGCCCCTTACTTAGGTCCAAGGGGGCCTTGGAATTGCCAGGTGGCGGAGACATGATAGGGTATTGGCCGGAGGTGGGACTGCTGGACACAGAGGAGGTGGTGGACAGGTCCAAGGCACCCACCTTGGTGCCAACAGGTGAATTCAGCGACAGCTTGCGAGCACGTACTGGGGAAGAGGTGCGTGAGGAGATCGAGAGGGGTGGTGGAGATGAGAACTTCCGACACAGACGGGGAGATTTCTCGTTGCTGGACTCCCCGCTGCGGTTATTCTGATTGGTGGCAAAGAACAGCTCTAAAGACCTGGGAGAATCAAAAACAGCAAATGGGTTCATAGTTCACATAATAAATGAAGGAAAGAATCCAGAGATGAATAAGAAGGATGTGCATGAATCAAAATGTGCAAATTAAATGACTGCTGTGCTGTGATTTTTGGTAAAGAAGATGGTGTTATTCATTTTGAGGAGGGAGCTTGAAGGGGGGGGGGTATGGCTTGGGGGGTTAGCCCTTTGTGTGTGTGATGGGAAGGTCACTGGTTCAAGCCTCGGCAAAATAGTCACATTGAAATGCTACAGGGATGCCAGACCAATGGCATGACCCTGCACTGAGACCCTAAGCCTTGCTCTCAACTGGGTGTGTGTGTGTGTGTGTGTGTTTTCTCAAAGAAGAACATGATGTGGTATGTGAAATGAAGTTTTCCAGTCTAGTTGTAAAAATGGCAAATAAATCATCCCTATATTATTATTTTTTTAATGGGAAGGCTTGGACAATAGAGTCAATGACTGAGAAGCCATCCATACACAGCAATATCAATGGTAACATTCAGCAGCACCAACAGAAAAACTGAAGTTTGATGGTATCAAATAGAACAATAACAAGATGTTTACATTTGCACAACATCACTAATGTTTATCAGTCAAGAGCTTCAGAAACCTATATATTCAAACTATGTTAATAACTACTTTGGTTATTTGTAGTGTTGTTTGAAATCTGAGTAAACTGCAATAAGATCTGGATGTGATGCAAAGTGAAACACGAGAGAAATATGCAAATGTGTACAGTAGATAGGAGGAGATTACCAGTGGTTAGGAAGGAAGGTTTCCCTTCCTTAGGGGGGGGGGGGGGGGGGGGGGATGTCACAGGGAATGTGTGTTACTTTGAGTGATCCGAGGCAAGCTTCCTGATCTTCCCACTGTAGTCTGGACATATGGAGGTGATGGACAAACGGTCGAATGAATGATACTGGACCCTGTGTGACAGGGAGGGATGGGGGAACATTCTTGTGACGGTGGTGTGATGAACCCGACAAGGAGCCCACTCTGCTAGCAGCTCCAAGGTACGAGAACAAGCATTTTCCTCGAGAGGATGCATGTTATGCAAGACATCACATGAAAATCTTTTTGACTCAAACTAAACTGGAATGAAATATCCCTTACAATATCAAAAATCAATTTTATAAATACAAGGGAGTCTTACATTTAGCACGAAACATGTTTAATATGTGACATTTAGAATTTGGTGAATTAAACTATTATTTAATGTGCCCCCTCCCCAAAAAAAAAAAAAAAAAACAGAATGATATTATTTTTCAAATTATAGGACAGGGTCATGTATACTATATTTTAAATGTTCCATTTATTTAACACTCATATTAGCCAATGATGAATTAATAATACCAAGAGTTATTATTTGGGAAGAAAGATTGATGTTGAGATTAAACTTATTTTTAAAAAATAAAAATACTTCATCACTAACATGCGAATTTCATAATACTCAGTTGTACTTGCTCTGCAGTAACAAAGAGTAAATACGCTTAGATTTTGGATGGCTACAAAAAGAAGAAATATACAATAATATATATTTTTAATAATATATATTTAACCCTAAACTGGCTTTAAAGTAGATAAAAGCTCATTTTTGTGAAGCTAAAGAAGATGCTAATCTGGAAATTTGCTGCAACCATTTTTGCTGAGGAACAATTTTATTAACTCTGCTATAGACATATGAGTGGGTATTGACTGTGGGAAGACTGAAAGTCTAGCTTCTGATGGATAAATGCTGGAGCCAGACATCAGGACCAGGGTTTGCTGCAATCCTATCAATACCTGACAGGAATGGAGGTAAAGGGCTTTTTATAGATGTCAGCTAATTTGTCCATGACGACTGTGGCCGTGGTGAAGATGCGGTAGGTGTGCAGGAAGGTGTTTAGGAAGTCGATGGAGAGGAATCTCAGGTCAGTCAGCCTCTCTAGCAACCGCTCCACGCTGGCGTAGCGGATCTGGGGAACTTTGCAGGAGTTGAGCGTCTTGCTAAAGCAGATATCAACATCATCCTTATGGAGACGAGTGTCGGATCTGTTACAAAACATAACAGAGTGCCGTGTAATTGGGAACCGCAGGTTAATAATCTCTTCGAATAAGGAGTATTGGCTGCTGAAACTCAGCATGTAAGCTCAGCATATTACACAGTATGAGAAGCTGTCCTTTAAAAAGACCAACATTAAATAAAACTATGCAAACATATGAAGAGCAAATTTCCAAAATGTACTCAGTCCATTTTTTGTTGTTTTTGAGATGAGACCATCAACGACCTAAAGTTAGGCTTCCGCATCATATGTTACAATACCGGGATCCAAAACTCACTCAGTCCTCATGTAATCCAACAAAGAATTAAATCATATCCCACGGACTGAGTGAATTATGGAAATTTGTTCTCCGTATATATCTATAAAAAAAAAAATAAAGGACAAAATGGTCACTCCAGGTTGTGGCTCCTTAAAGACGTACTTGATCATGTGAGGTACAGTGACTTTTGAGTTTTCCTCAAACACGCTGGTCATGAGGCCATTGCAGCGGATGTTGTCAATACACTGTGCAGGAAACCAAAAGACAGAGAGAAGGGTAAAGACGCAGGAACAGCATTAAAGGAGTCTTTAGGTCACATCAGACATGTCTTTGCTTCTAAGCATGCGTGGCCTCCGGGCTGACTTCATCAGCAGTTTTATATTTGCTTCCCAGGGTACAACCCCACGTGGGCAGACCCATAAACCTTGGAGCATTAAATGAGCCCAAGGGTGACAGCCGTCTCCCAGCAAGAAATGGGCACCGCATATCCCTCCGCGGAGACCACCTGTGCGTGCTGCATGTTTACGCAAAGCACGAGCTCATGGGATGCCCACGCAGAAGCACTTGTTTGCTACTCTGCTGGCAGAATTGCTGAATTTATTCGTGTGTGCATATGAGGTATGTGTGGAGGGTGTGTGTGTGTGTCTGGATTATGTTTATATTACATTGTGGGGACCTGTTTTTTTGACATTGTGGGGACCATTTTTCAGGTGGTTGTAATGGGATATACTAAGAACCATTTTTCAGGTCCCCACAAAGATCTGTGAATGCAATCCAAAAAAATAAAAATGCAAAAAATCTTTTTGTTTATTTTGTTTGATTATTTATGGTTAAGGTTAGGGCTGGGTAGATTGTTATATTGGGATTAGCGTTTTACCCATAGAAATGAATGGAGAGTCCCCACAAAGATATAATTACACCTGTGTGTGTGTGTGTGTGTGTGAGCGGGTTTACCTATCCTTATGGGGACAAAATGTCCCCATAACGTGATAAATATCCATTTAACTCTATTTTATAAAAATCGGTGACTGCTATGAAAAAACTAAAAATGCAAAAACTCTTGTATTTTGTTTGGTTACTTATGGTTATGGTTAGGGCAGGGTAGGGGTTAAGGTTGTCATAGTTAGCGTTAGCATTTTTCCCATTGAAATGAATGAGCGGTCCCCATAAGGATATGTTTACCCTACATGTGTGTGTGTGTGAGTGTGTAGTGTATGAGTCAGGGGTGTTGCTTGCAATATAAAATTTCAACAGAAATAAAATCATCATTTTATTTTTTATTTTCATATTAATTAACCATCTATGAATATCCTTAGGGCAACATATTAGCAAATTCATCACATGCACAAAGGGCACATTAAAACCGATCAAAGTTACTATGTTAATATACTGACTTTGCCCGACTGTCTCACATGAGGTAACACCGAGGAGCTAATCGATCACTAAGATACCATCGCATGAAACTGCAGCTCCCCTGCTATCACATTTGTCTGCCATAGCTGTTGTGCTAGAAGACTTGAACTTTCTAACAAGAAGCAGTTAACACGGATTGCCATGCTATGCCCATACGATGATATCTGTCTTCAGGGAAACACAAACAATAAGACTACTATGTTAAAACCAATGCATAGTGGTGTACAGAAGAGTTTTGTTCACATAAAATGACTGTGCAAGAGCCATGGATATATGCATTAGTTCTTAGTACATCCCATTATATCCATCATCTATACTTATCCAGTACAGGGCCGTGATAAGCCTGGCTTCTGCCGCAGGAATGGATGCGATGTCATTTTCACAGAACACACATAGATCCACAGACAACAGACAATTCAGAGACTGCAGTTTTCCTGTGTGTTTTCAAAAAGAAAAAGCAGAGAATCCAGAGATCCACACAAAGCTGGGAAAGGGATTCAAACCCCTCACCCTCAAAGTACAGACCTACAGGTGCTACTCACTGGACCACCACACTGCCCCACTGCCTCACACGTCATAACTAGTTTATTTTATGAATTGATGCACTTTAAAATAAGTTCCTCATGCATTCCATGATGTATATAAAATGCAGGCAAAATGTTCACCCATGAGGTGGCACAGTGGTTAGCACTGTTGCCTCACACCTCTAGAACCAGGGTCTCCACCATAGCTGTATGTGTGTGGAGTTTGCATGTTCTCCCTGTGTTGTTGTGGGGTTTCCTCTGGGTACTCTGGTGTCTTCCTCCCACACACAGTCCAAAAACATGCTAAGGTTGATTGGTGTTAGCAAATTTCCTACAGGTGTGAGTGTGCTCACACCTATAGGGCTGCTCTGGTCCCCCTGTAACCCTGAATAGGACATGTGGTTACAGAAGGCGGATGGATGAATGTTCTCATGATACCTACCTGACTGATATCACTAGTCCAGGCAGCTTTCTCTTGGCGGGAAGGGGCCAGCAGAACTATTGTTAATGCTGGAGCATCTGATGGCTCTACCACAATCTTAAAGTCCAGGTGGCCGAAAACCTGGCCTGTGTTCTTGGCTGTGAACCCAGAAGAAAGAAAGTTCAGAGGGTGTCAGCAGGTCTTTCAAACCTCAAATGGCTACAAGCAACTAACCCTATTCAGAGACTCAATTGGAGATTTAATTCAGAGTTTGTAATAGTCTGAAAGCCATTTTCAGGCATTGAACTAATATGTGTCTTTATAAAAATTAAAGGGTAACAAATTATAAAGCTCCTTCTGCACAAGTTTTAAAATTACACCTTAAAAATGTCAGTTGACAAGGGACAGGTCAGGAAAAAACAATTACAGCTCATCTATATGTTTGTTATTTACCAAAAGTAAATACACGTCCATTCAAAGGATACTTAAGGTTCACTGATCCATGATATCTGCTGAGATGATACTTAAAGAAAGGTATTTAATATTCTTTGTCTGACCTGGACGTCGACAGTTAATTAACCTGAATCATAAAGTAGAAGACATCTCAGGATCAAATGAACTGTAAAAAAGGTCATTAGAGGTAATCTTACATTCATCATCATTGGCATCAGGCTCCTCAAAGAGTGTGCACTCGATCAGAGACACAACGCCTCCTTGCTGTAATTGGACGAGAGAGGTCACATGGGAAGCTGTTTTCCACCATTCCACCAGCTTATCAACCTCAGTTTTTTTCATTGAATTAAGGCAGAAAGAAGTACCTCACTCTGGACTCCCTAAGAGCCCTGATTTAACAGCATGAAAAGCAGTATCTATTTAAAACAGAAAAAGGCAATTGCCCCAGCAAATTTTCTAATATAAAAGAAACTTGTTTTTATTGTACATCAGGCATGCTGCAGGAAGTATTCCAGGTAACACCATGCTTATTCTCGGAATGGACTTCATATGGGAAGAGGTAAAGCTCCATTTTAGAAAGGAAAATAAAATCACTCCAGATGCTTACCCTTGGGCTTTTGTTCCCTTTTTAAATAATTGCTTAACATGCAACAATTAACATTATTTGCTCTTGTGGTTTAATTCAAGAAGCATTTTTCGCATGATACAGAAGACAGATGAACAAGGGTGTGGCAATCACTCATCTTACATGATCATGTTCATCATTTCTGTTCTTCAGCTTACTTGGAATGTCAGTGACTAATGACTAGCGTCACGTTCCTTCTGTGTCTACCTGAAGCCAACAGATTTTCTATCCGTTCCATACAGGTTGTTTTTATCTCTGTAGGCTATATCAATGGAAAAACATCTCAAAATCACTTTTAACTGGCCAGTTTATATGTGCTAATGGTAAAGTTATATTTTTTTTAGTAAATCTGCACTATGCAGCACTATGTGGTTCAGGCAGACGATATTTCTCCAATGCATGCATGTGTATTGATGTGCTGACAATAAACATCTCTTGAATCTTGAAAATCAGTACCAGATTAAAAAACACTGGAGCCTAAATTCTTTTCTGGGTGTTCCGTCCTGTAAACTGTCTGGATATTTGCTACCTAAGCCTTTCAATTTTAGATCCACAACAGAAGTGCTGGTGTCTCAGATTAGCAGCCATGTGCAGGTCACTCACTTTCAGCAGGTGCAGCTTGCCCCCGGAGCTGCGGGTGCAGATGAGAAAGTGCTTGGTGAACAGGAAGCACTGCCTCTCACCTTCCTTCTTCAGGGATAGTGAGCCCAGGCGCACCTTGCTGAGCTTCCCCCGCTCGACAGAAGGAAGCTGAATCAGAGAACCTAGGGCCGAAGGAGAGGCAGCCAAGGGGACAGAGATAAAGGAGCAGAGATGATGACAGAGACAGAGCCGACTCACAGGGAACATAAAGACCAAAGCAGGCAGGAGGACAGGAACATTTACAAAAGAATACAGCAGAATAGGGGTTATAAGAAAAGAAGAACATGAGGACAAGGAGGAAAAAAACAAGCCGTAAGAATGATATAGGATTGATTAATAAACCCAGAATCACGCCCTTCCTCTGATAAATATTAATAGGATCACTGGTATCTGTCACTGACATATGAAGCTATAGATAAGACAAAGCGTCAGCTGAGAGCAGGCATTTATATTTGGCTACACATAGAATGTTCTGCCGCTCTGACAAAGACCAAGTACTAAAATGCCATTTTGAATTAAGTTACTCGTCATCTAGTCAGTGTAAGTGGTCGTTTTATCAATATCACAATAACGGAAAGACTTTTTCACAGATATCTTACACTCATACATCAAATGAAGCTGTAAGAACACAAGGCCCGATAGCACAACTTACCTTGACGCACAAACGTCTGGCTGGTGTCCAGCAGAATGTCACAGCCCTCCACAATCATGCGCTCGATGGCTAGATTTTTGCGGATGTTCTCAGTGTCGCTAACTTCATCATGCATCACCCTGAGAAGACAGCAACAGGCCTCTTCTCAATACACTGCTCATCATTGCCCTATCACTGTTGGGTAAGGATGTCCGGATTGATGCTGTGATATCAGTTCCCTCAATGTTGATGTTTCATTTTTGAGAAACGATTCTAATGTTAAAGTATTACATTTTTACGGGACATTACGTGCCAAACCTAGGTTTTGGGTTAACAGTTTGGCGCAGTTTCAGTACAACAGGGAAAACGGAATTTGTTCTGCGATTATTTATTATTAAACCCGCAAAAACAATTAGGACCAGTCGTGAACCAGTGGCAATGCATTGGTCGATGGGTCTGACTAAAAAGACATGCTTTTTTGCACATTGTATGTACGTGTGTATGTGTATATATATATATATATATATATATATACACACATACATACACACTCATTTTCCTCCCACCTCCCCTAACAAAGCACCTACACTGTACTCTGCACTCCCAGATTATGCAACTAAAGGGATCTTAAACTCTTTCTAAACCACACGTATTTAACCTACCGTACTACCTCTACAAAATCACTCACCTAGACAATTCCTCTAGTTTCGACTTGGCAAACTCCAAGCTTTTGCGCTCCACATGTTCATGAGGTGTGTGGGCCAGCAGCTCATGAAGCGTGATGATGTACCGGGGGATCTGTCAGAGACAGGGAAAGTGCTCAGATTTCAGCCCTGAAAAGTACCACTCTGGCATGTCTTTCTGAATTTACTGGCACAAACAACACATTACCCTGTTTTTTGGCTGAGTGGCCCTTGGGGTTAAAAAAGGCTTACTTGGGAAAGCTTGGGGTATATAGGACAAATATATAAAAAACACAATCAGCATTAAGGAATGTAAATTTGGAACTGGGTAACTTTGAGATAATTGTTGTTTCTGCTCAGTTTGAGTTTGCGGATTTGTGAAAAAATAATTGTGACTCTCTCCGATCTCTTAAAAATATAGTACGCCTTAAGACCATGTTTATATAGTTTTTAAGTGATATGCTCAAACAGAGAGGCATGGCCACAGTGGGGTTCCCCTAAGTGATATGCTCAAACAGAGAGGCATGGCCACAGTGGGGTTCCCCTAAGTGATGTGCTCAAACATAGGGGCGGGGCCACAGTGGGGTTCCCCTAAGTGATGTTCTCAAACAAAGGGGCGGGGCCACAGTGGGGTTCCCCTAAGTGATGTT